GGGAACTAGGGAGATCGGTCTGAAATTGCTGGGGTCAGATGGGTTGCCAGACTTGAAGATCGGTTGAACGATAGAGTGTTTCCAGGGGTCAGGAATGTCGGAACGGGTTATTGAGACGTTGATGATGTGTAAAATGATGTCGCCAATAGTTTGGAAGCATACTTTTAACATGCGGATGCATATACCGTCAGTGCCACGCGCGGCAGAGTTTCGCATGTTGAACACTGTGAGTCCGAGTTCCCCGAGAGTGATGGCCCTCGGCCTAAAGCTGCATGCGCCGACACGGGGTAGACGTACATTTAGATCAGTATCGTTGTTTTGGGTACTCAGTTCGGCGGCAATGCGGGGCCCGACAGAGACGAAGAAGGAGTTCAGATCGTCGGGAGATAGATCGGGCTGAATATTTGGACCATCTTTCTTTCCGGCGATCACTGATTTGATGCTTTGCCAGACTTTGTTTACCCCACGCTCGCTGATCTCGTTTTGGAGGACGTGACGGCGGTCTCGGCGTAAGGCGGCACGGACGGAGCGGTTAAGAGCCTTATACTCGGGAGACTCGCGGCCTAGCCGACGTAACGCGGAGCGACGTCTGGACATAATGTCGCGGGTGGCGGCAGATACAGGGGGCGCTGTAGGATTTCTTATCAGCACATTTTTGAGGGGGGCATGGTCGTCGAAGACAGGTAGAAAGTTGTCTAAAAAGACCTGCCACTTGTCAGCAACAGACGTCGAGTTATAAACTTCCTGCCAATCGACACTCAGCAGCTCTTGGTTGATAGAGTGAACGTCCGCTTGGTTAAGTGATCTAGATTGGATGACAGTTGGTTTTAGGCGCTGCTTAGGCACGTCGACGGTCACGTGGATGAGTTTGTGTGGGCTGAAATGGCAATGGACTACGCTATAAGAACGCACAAATTTTCGGTTTTGTACAATGCACACGTCCAAGAGAGAACCGGTAGTGAATGTTGATGTTGTCACGAGTTGATCCAGGGAGTAGTCAGACAGGAACTCGCTGATGTGTTGACGGGCGGGAGAGCTTGCGCTCTTTAACAAGTCACAATTCAGATCGCCGCATATAACAAACGGGACGTTGGGGTGGTCGATAAGGACACGCTGAAGCTGGGTTTCCAAGTCTGTAAAATCCGCACGCAGTGCGGTCGCGGAATAACGCGGCGGTCGGTACACCGAGCAGACAATCAGATTGCGATTTTTTGGTAATTTCAACAATGCCCACTGCGATTCCAGAAGACTGTCCGGGCACTGCGAGCTTGGTGGCTTCAGTGCTACAGGCGTAAGGTCCGCTTTGGTGATGATGGCGACGCCGCCAAAGCCTCGGCCGTCAGGTCGGTCCACCCGGCTGATGGAGTAGCCAGGGATGACCAGGAGGCGATTGGGTGTGCTCGGTCGTAGCCAAGTTTCGGACAGGAGCATGACGTCGAGATCTTGGCGGTTAAGTTCGTCCGACAGCTCCAGCAGTTTGGGCTTGAGGCTCTGGACATTGAGGGCTCCGATTAGCAGTCCGGTGCCGGGACGATGAGCGGTGGGCGCGATCGCGGTACGGCCGCCGCCCCGCCCCCTCCGTCCACGCGCGCCGCGGCGCTGCGGCCGCCGGCCGCCGCCTCGGGCCGACCTAGGGGCGCCGGTAGCTGGTGCGGCGGGTTGACCGTCTGGAGCGGGTGCGGGGGCGAGGGCGGTGGGGAGCTGGGCGTGAGGCTCGGGCGATCCGCCGGTGGGCGGCGGTTGTGGACGGCGTCCGTCGCTGCGGGCCGGCCTGTGGCGCAGGGAGCCTCTGATGGGCGGGGCCTGGGCCACCGGCGGCGCGCCGTGGGACGCGGGCAGCGCGAGCGGCCGCTCTCCACCCCCTCGGGCCGGCGGGGCTCTCAGCTGGAGGGGAGGGTGAGGCGACACGGCCGCCAGCTGGCGCCCGTGGGGCTCGGCGCGCGGCGCGGGACTGCGGGCCGTCGTCCCCGAGGCTCGGGAAGATTTTAAAACCGGCAGCCGTTGGGTGGCTAGAGCTGGGGCCGAGTCACAAGTAGAGTTAGATGAATTCCGAGAAAAATTGCGTGGGAAAGCTGGTTTTCTTACGGTAAGGTGGTGCCTGAGATGGTGATCGGCAACTCGAAGAGTGGTCCTGGGTGGCGGCGCTGGTGCCGGGCAGGCCACGACGGTCAGTACCCGCACTACGGCGAGCAGAACCAGGAGCCGGGCGATATCACGGTGCATGTTGAGGCGAAAGGGGTATTGGCCACGACGAGATCTTGAAGAGGTTGCAAACGACGTATCCATGTAGAAAGACTGTTCAAGTAGCACAAATCCACACTCACGCTCACACTAACACACGGAGTAGGCAGAAGGGGGTAACGGGGAGGAGTGAGCAGCGCTCGCGTCCGCTCACGGCGGCGCGCTCAGCTGAACTCAGCTGAAGTCATATACAAGGCGGTGTAGTGTGTAAGTGGAACGGTGAGGCGCGATCACTTATAGTCACTTATAGTTAACCAACATTTTCTCTTGATCAAAAGACTTTTTTCCAATGCTTAATTAAAGTGGTGGTGTCCTCATATTTTATTTGGAAAATTTTCAGGCATGAAAACAAACAATTTATCCGGCAAAACAATAATCGGTTTCACCGGATAATACAAGCATCGATTCTCCTCAGCCACTTTTTCCCTTTACTTATTCCCCACTAACAGAGCCCATCACCCTTGGACCTTCTCTCAGGTGTGTATGCATATAGAATGTACGTACCATTGTATTAAATTGCATACATACATATATCTACCAAACTAAACAAGTTTCATAATGCTAGGCAACACAAAACGTTTCTTGCAAAGACACATATCTTTGTAATGATATGCAGCCGTTGCATGCCATGCATGAAATATGAAGGGTGACCGAATACATTGTCGCAATCATTGCAGAATGTCTCTTCTACGCATGTAAAAAGTCACCAAGTATATGTATCGCTTTAGGCAGGGATTGGCTAAGGCATTTAACTTTCGAACCAAACTCTTACTGTGTTTTGTAATTTTATTTCCAAATAATGCAACTTTTCAGCCGTTTCAACACAACAATTTTATAGCCGAAATGACACGCAGGCCGATGTATAAGAAGGGAAAGACTCAAAGGGGTGTTCAAACCTGGCAATTACAGACGAATCTCGGATACCGACACACGGTCGGCTGCACTGTGCGTACACGAACATTTCTCGATCTCAGTCGAGGGAAGCACGTTAACGGCGCTACGGCCCATTAAACATTGCGTGTTCGGCGTCCGTTTGTGGACCCGCGCGACCGAGCCCGCCCGCGCGCCGTGGCTCCCGGCCACGGCGATAAATTAAGCCGTCATTATAAAAACGGCACGGTTGAGCTCTCGGCACATCCCACTTCAAGGAGGCGCGACCGATGGAACGGTAGGCCTCAGAGGAGACCTGCGCAGATCGCAGATCTTTTAGGAGTTCAGGGCAAACCACACCTAATGGAGAGGCTGTGACGGAGAGTTCGGTTTCTCCCACGCACGTCCTTCACGCACTGAGGACAGGAGATAGCGTTAATTAATCTTACTTCTCAGAGACAATGAAGTGTAGTTTATCGGTTGTCGATGAAAAAGCCAGTAAACATCGGCCCGCCCGACGCCAAACAGCTCATTAATCATGCGCGTCCATGGGCGTCGTTCATCAGCCGGCTCTGAGGTCCCTGGCAGGGGCGGCGTGTTGGACAAGAGCTGAACAGTGGCGGCGCGCGTGTAGCACGCCACACCGCCACCCGGCTCACCCAAACAGGCTGATAGCGAGATCGAGCGAATGGTGACACGGAGCCAGTTCCGGACGGGACATAAACGACACACCGTAAACACGGGTTATACACGCCGTGCTGGCCATGGAATGTGGAGGTGTGATGCATAGTCTCACTGCAACAATACAGTCTTTTACTGCAGTTTAAACAATACAAGCTAACCAATAATAGCAATAGCATTTAAGACTTTTAATTTCAGGATATTTAGGAAGCGATACATTTAGCATACACAACATATTTATTCAAAGCTCCACCTCGGAAAAGCTAAAAAAGAAACAGATAAAAAAAGAGCAGATAGGAGCCATCCCAGAATTCCCTCCTTTAAAAATGTCCATTGTCCATGTATGGGATTGGGTACCACTACAAGAGAAAACCTCACCAGATCTGGGCGCACCATACCGGGTCTGCTCTCGGGCCTGCACCCTCAGTGGGTCACGGGGTCGACTCTCTGGTCACAGCGTGGTGCGCGCACCCGGCCCGATGTTGTCACCGAATCTACTGCCTTGTTGCGGTCATAGCGCGCCGGGCAGCGGCGGACACTATCACATCTGTTTGTGACCAACTGAGCTTCCGTGTGTCAGCCGTCCCCTGTCTGAGATTCCCGGCACAAAACACATGTCCGAGAGAGCCTCCGCGGCTGGGGTGCTCGCCGCCGCGACCTGAGCGCGGTCACGAGGACTGCGTGGGGCCGCGCAGAGGGTGACGTATGGGCCGCGGCCGTGTCGATGCTATTAGTGCGCTCGGCTCTGCAGTCGGGGAGCGCCGTGAAAATAAGATGGATGCGACGTGTGTGAGGCTGGGTAGCGCCCATGACCGGGTCACCGAGCGACCGGCCAGCCGCGGAGGCGGGCCGCGCGCTGCACACCCGTAATAGGGGTCGAGTTTCACATGGCCGCCGGCGCCGCGCCCGTCGACGGGTTACGACTGGGTCTTAGGAGGAGCGACGCCGGCGGTCTAGGGCCCGGCTGCAGCCGCTGTGCCGTGAGCCCCGTCTGCTGAGCGGCCCACTCACGGACCGTCGCAGAGCGGGGCGATCAGGACGAGCGACTGAGGAGACTTGCAGCCGCCCTCTAATATTGGCAAAAGGACGGATATTGTAAAACATTTATAATATTCTAATGAAGTATTCAGCTTGGCATGGAATGATCGTAAGAAAAAAATCAAACGTGTCTGTAGCTTGGTACCTATACACAGTCAATGGAGACTTACCTTTGAGGATGCTTTCAAGAAGTTCATGAACACTTCCAATTTGTCTTCAGCTTGATAAATCACGTAAAAACTCCGTCGTAAAACTTTCTTCGTCATAAGATCGTCCACAGATAACAGTAGTACCTACAGGATCGTCTGATCACAGCACTGTCCCAGCTTGACTTGACTGAACCACAATCGATCGTCTCTACCTTACACGCCACTTGTGAACACTGACCCGTCTCAGACACAGTCCTAGTGCAGAGACACCCGATCTGCCGCCGGTCACGTGACGCCTGAGGGCAGACGGCGCGGGGCAGCTGCGACCGGGCGGCCGCGGCGGGCGGCGGCCGGGTGCACACTGGTCGGAAACGCTCCAGCGAGAGGCCAGCGGCCTTTCCGCAAAAGTTTTTTGCTTGTTATTCCACAACTAGTGAAGCAAACTTCATAAAACTTTGCATACCTTCTCTGTCATATGTAAGCTATCATTTGGATGTCAAGCACTAAATATATGACGTGAATCTGTTAAGTTATGACGTCATAATTGAGTATAATACAGAATCTAGCACCACTTTAAGTCAACAAGGGGAATTGGGAGCTGTTATTCGGGCACCGGGAATGGTTTCATGCACTCCTTGCAAGGTCCAGTGCTTCACTTAAGCATTGTTGACTTTGTGTGACGTCATTTATGACGTCACTAAGGCCATATAAGTTTTTCGTCAATAACTCCTGATCAGATGGAGCTAGAGAGTCGGGAAAGCCACCATTGGACTCAGGAAGACCTGCCGAATCGAATGATATGCGATGTGACCTCCTTCAACCATTTTCGTGACCTGAGGGGCTCCGACCTGACCTTGACCCGAGGTTAACACCTTAAGTTGACTTCACCCGAACACCAAGTATAGCATTCGACGCGCCTGAGCTAGACAAACACGATGATGCCAAAATCGCGGCAGTGCGGCCATTTTTGGCAAAGTAATTAACCTAAAACCAAGCCCGTGCCTTGTGGGACTTACCTGACCTAAGAGGTCACTGGCTGACCTAAGACCTTAAAATCGGGTAGTGCCTAATTGTTGCGTCTTATAACGGCACACAAGCTCTTTTTTTCCGCGAGGCTCTATCTCAATTAGAGGCGAAACGGCGAGGGAGTTGTACCAACCCTCCCCGGTCAATATAGAAAACCAATCGGTCCGGCCAGGGTTAAATACCGGAATTGTGATCTAATGTAAAAAGACGGCCCAAGGTAACCCGACGTCAGTGACAGGTGTCCTATATTTGCAGCGTCTTATATTCACGAAGGTTTCAATTTCCACTTTCTTCAGCCGAGTGATGGTTGTCAATAGCAAGGCTCTCTAAATGCAAGCCGTAATCGCCACGCAATATGTGGAAGGCTTTTGATGTCAATACATACATAAATGCATACATAAAACGCGCTTTTCACAAAATTCATAAGCTCAAACGCATCTGTTTTTAATGACCAGTCAACTACGCATGGATGCGTGCAGGCCACACAGGTCAGCGTAAGCCGGGCGCGGCGGCCGAGCCGAAACTGGGGCGGGGCGGGCGGTAGTTGGGTAGGAAGAGCGGCTCCTGCAAATTTTGCGCAAATATGCGCAGTTAGCTTTTATGTTGCCCTGGTGTAAATTTAAATTCTGCTTCATCTCACAAAAAATCAGAGTGGAACTAAATGGGACTACCTGTTGTTTCCTTACCTAAACTTTGCAGTTATATTCCAGAATCACTGTAGGAGAGCCTTCATAAAAAAGCTACAGTAAATCTTAGTCAGGGAAAAAGTATACCAAAAATTTTGCACTGACCAGTCGGCAACTTCATAAGGAACATTTTGATGCATAATATGTGAGATTTCAATTTGGTGTCTATCAGCAATAAGACTTTGAATATCCGGCTCAAGAAACCTCTTGCTCCGCGTCAGTTTCCGAGTTCTGGGATACCCCATCTTCGGGGGCTGATTACAGTTATTTTTGGTCACCCGGATTAGTTTTTTTTGGCCGAAGTATAATAATTTGATCAATTTCAAATCGATCTATATAAAAAATAATCCGAAACTCCGGAATCGCCCGTGGCCTCTCGTGAGGGTGTTTCCGACCAGTGTGGGGTGGGGCGGAGTGGGGGGGGGGGGGGCGGAGTGGGGGGGGGGGGGCGGGGCGGTGATGAAGAGCGGATGTTGAAGTAGACTCGACCATGCGCTCTAAGAGTCTTGAGGTGGTTTAGGAGGCAGGGTAGCAAATGATTATGCCGAGAACAACTATGATAACAGTTATGTAGGAATCAGAGCCGTTCAACTTCCATATCAACATCTCAACAGCTTCTGCATCTTTTCTGATCCATCGTAGAAATATGTGACCAAAAGCCACTATCCAGCTCCCAGCCATATACATAGAATCTGAGTCACCCAACAAAGGATGCGTAAGCGCCACTGAGGGCGCTGGACCCACCGCACAGCCCCTCCCCCTCCCCCTTCCCCGAGGGGGGACAGTCACCGTGACCGTCGTTCTCTGGCGACATTCCTGCGGACTGGACAGAGCTCCTCCCTCTCTCCTCGGAGGAGTCAGTCATCTCCGGAATGTGAGTGGTCCTCTGTTCCGCCGTGTCCTCTCTGGATGGGGCGGGGACGGGGCGGGGCAGAGGTCGCCGCGGGCACCTTTACGGCCTCGGGAGGACACGGCACGAGTTGTGACGTCCGGTTGGCTGGCGTTAGTGGCGTCACATCGACTTCACAGCGTGCGGCAGCTTGAAGACCTCCGAGAGAGAGAGAGAGAGAGAGAGAGAGAGAGAGAGAGAGAGAGAGAGAGAGAGAGAGAGAGAGAGAGAGAGAGAGAGAGAGAGAGAGAGAGAGAGAGAGAGAGAGAGAGAGAGAGAGAGAGAGGAAGAGAGAGAGAGAGTGTGTGTGAGAGAGAGAGAGAGAAGAGAGAGAGAGGGAGGGAGAGAGAGAAGAGAGAGAGGGGGAGGATAACACCCAGCAGGATAGGTATGTGACGCACGCACAAACCTCGCCCGCGCCCGCAGTGCAGCGGCGCCAGTGTGGTGCAACCGCAGCCGTCTCGGCAGGAAAATTAACAGACAAGGTGCGCAATAATTAAGGGCAGTAGTAGGCGGGAATTTCCGGCGATAGGCTTCCGTCCTTCAGAGCCAGCAATAGGTGCTTCATTGTTAGACATTCGAGAGATCCGCCGGGCCTTGACAGATGAATTTATGAGCTTCCTGTCTTTATGTTGCCTACTCATCCGCTCGAGGCAGCGAGCGCTGTTCAACGAACAAAGAGTGACTCAATCATCAAGTGGATGCCTTATGCGCAGAAGACAGTTCAATATTTCAAATAGATTCTCAGCGCTCCCTTCTGACCACGTCAGATCCCCTCGAGCCTCCCTCGATTCTGCCACGACCTGTCGTGACGTGTCAATACTGGTAGACGGTCGCTTTGGCATCCAGCCCTGTGGTCAGGGATGGGGCGAAATTGGCCGAAATCAGCGAGTCTGAATGCTGAGAGGGACGACTAGCGTCCCGTCACGTTCTCGTCGGCGAGGAAGCGGACATGTCGGGTTCAAAGTTCTCTGTCGCTCGGTTTGGTGGGTGTTCTCTGTTCTGTTTGTAAGGTCAGCGCCGACCGGTGTGCCGCTCTCGGTCGTCCCTGTCAGCGTACCCGGCGGCACCTAATGAAAGGTCGGTTCCCGGGCGAACGGTCGGTGCCAGACCGGAGGGCGGTGTCGGCGGCTGCCCGGTGCCGCGCTAAAACACCACAGTCGGGTGATGATACCCTGCCACTGACGGAAAGTGGGTGTCTCGGTGAGGGATGAAAAAGGACCACCGACTGGGGTAGACTAGCTCGTTCAAACACAACCACGCATTGAAAATTAAATATATTTTATTTCATTTTATATTTTATTATATTTACCAAGATCGTCGACGGGATTCCTATCGAAAGACGAAGTCAATTCGTAAGATCAAATATACCTACCTATATCAAAATAATCAAATATACCTAATGCGTAGGTATTGTAGCGATTGCATGCACTTAGCGGGTATTAAGTTAAACTTCGCTAATTGTCGACTTTTGGATAAAGAGGCTTTTTAATATATTGAAAACATTTGTGAAGAAACTGCGTAGCCCCTAACCGTAACATCATTTATCGATGCATTCATATTATTATTTTTACCCCGAAAGCGGAAGTGTATAGTGCCATCATCAAAACGCACTATGCCAAGTTCATTAAAAATTACACGCTCCTCAGATGGCCCTGTACCTTTATCAGGGGCGATAGCTACCTCCTAACCGACCGGAACACTCCACGGAGTTCCCAGATGTATGAGCCCACCGTCATCTCCCCTGCGCTCCCCTCCCCGGGATTTTCAAACGCACCTCTCCGCGCCTGTCTAACGCAGCTCACACGATAAATGACACAGAGGCCAGCAATTACGTGGCGCGGCCGATCTGCGCCGATAAAATTCAATCACTGTCACTGGGTGATGGTCAGGAGTCGTCAGCGTCTGATTAATGTTTGCCGACGGCCGGCGGAGCTGCCCCGCGCTACTGTCGACAGCGCAAGGTCACTCGCGGCCGCCGTTAGATCATATCTGAGGACCGCAGATGAACCGAGAGACTACCGGCGAAATGTGCGGCGAAATGTGCGGCGATTTAGCGGCCGTGTCTCCGGTTTCCGAGCGGATTCCGCGCGCGGTTTTGGCGGCGCTGATTTCATCTGGTGGGCCGGAGGCGGTAGGTAGCCGTTAGTGGCTCGTTGGTGTGTCCAGATGGTCGCCATTTTTTGACGGGCGGGACCGATAGTACAGGGTGTCTCAAAAGTTCGTTCACACATTTCCCATGCCCATAAAGCATATAAGAACCGGCCAAAAATCTAAGGTTTTGGTGTCTGTGTGCACACTAGACAAATATGCATGCTTTGACAACTGATTCGGAAGGTTGGAAATCAAACTATTTGCTGTATCTCCAAAAATATTTGTCCATACCGATTTTCGTCGCTCCGTCAGCTGCCAGAGGCTGATAAAAGGTTACCAGCTTTCAAGCTCTTGTAGGGGAATCCCCTGCAGTTTCTGCGTCGGATTTAGGTTTGACGAGCTCCCCGGCAACATCCGCTTCTCCCTGAAAGCCGACAGCTTGCATCGACACCATCGTGAGTATTTTGTAGGTCTTCTCTGGCGCTAACTCCTTCATGAATGACTGGCGCCGACCTCCCAAGCACCATTTTCCTTTTCAAAACAACCCCATTCCTGAACTAATGGGAAGTGCCAGGGGCAAATTTTTCGCAGCATATCGTAGAAGAATGTGTCGGCCATCTGTTTCTTAGACACGTTGTGAAAATTTTGCAAATCCCAAACGCTCATCATTCCCCATGACAATATCTTCACTGGGTTGCGGAGTGTTTTCCTCAGGAGAGGTTCTGCTTTGTAAACGGCCAAAACCTGTCCATCGTGCGGTTTTGTCGGGATTTTGTGTCTAAAAGGAAGCTATTCGCTCCAGATCTGCCTCTTGAAACTTCGTAAGATAAAAATTTACATTAATTGACACTTTTCAAGGGTCAGTTGTCCTTGGCATTGACGATTTTCGTGTTATTTCCCCCAAAATTTAGCGTTATAGATATAATAAACAATTTAAAATGATACTTTGTCTTTATTTTACGATGACCTGCAATTTGTGAAACTGGGTAACCTCTGTCTGTGAGCTTCTTGTCAGTTTTCAATAGTTATGACTTCATTTTAAGCTGCTTTCCGGAGCACGAGTCTGCTGCCGTACGAGGGTCGTTCAAAACGCTGTTAGTCTCGCATGGTTTTGTCCTTCAAAAATTTTAGCCACCGTTTTTATTAGATGATCATCATGTTGTACTCATCCTCGCCGACAGTTTGCCATGGGTCATTTCCGACTTAACCATTCCCATTACTCCTGAAATAGAGAGTTTCTCAGCCGACCCGATTTTGCGACCTCCATTTTCATGCCTGACCCATGGTCAGAGATGAACCCTTTTTGTGAGCTCATGAAGGGTCGAATGCGCTTGAAAACAATGAGACTGCTTGAGGAAGGTTGTTACGAATGCCCATGCAAAATTTCGACCGTTAATCAATTGTTGATTCAGAATTATTGACAAAAAAGCATGGCTGGTACATGTGAACGAACTTTTGAGACACCCTGTATAATCGGGACCGTGAGAACAGGGGCGAAGTGGGGGCTAGGAGACAGCCTAGTGGTAGGTTCAAACGTGGGCGGGATGTGGCGAGGTCACTAGATAGTGGAAAAGTCGGAGACAAATCGGCCCAACATTACGATGGCTAGTTCCGTGTGCGTGGGCCTTGAGCCTGAAAAGTTCATCTGATTCAAATACAGGTTCGAAAAGGATGAAAGCATAGTTTCTTGGAAATTCGCGCTCAAATCTCCTTCTTGCCAGGGGGATAAACGTTAAAAACCTGATGATCCAATAGCAGCTTATGCACAGGGGCGTCGCCACGGATTTTTGACTGGGGGGGACGGATTGGCTGACTAAAAACCCAAAAGCTAGTTACCGTACAATTTCAGGCCTATGCACTACTTATAACGCATACACAATACACATGTTCTCATGTTCTCGCGTGGAGGCGTTATTAGTCACACTCTTTTCTATCTGTGCATGAATTGGCGGCGCGAAGCGCCGCGAAAATTGGCAAAAACTCTTTGCAAAACAGTCCCAAAAGGCATAAATTTTGCATCCCGAGTAATAAGTTTGATACCAGGACAGTTAGGATCTGGTCACCAAGTCCAGCAGCCCTGCCTCTAAAAAATCGTGTGGTCCTCTGTCAACCATAGGTACAGCTTATTTCCAAGAAGTTTGAAACTCTGTGCAGTGTAGCTGCAGGACCGCGGGGTCGGAGTCGACTTCGGTCGTAGTCGACGGTTTTGGTCGGATACGGAGTTGGAGTCACCAAAGTCGTACCAGACTTCAACTCTGAAGTCAGAGTCAACGTCATCCCCGAGGATGGGTCGGATAAAAGCTGGAGATTCTGTTGGCTGTGGTGATTGAAGGCCGGGTCATGGTAAGACCAATGTAGGACCATACTGAGTATTACATCCTCTTGGGCTCTCTCAGACCAGGACGAGGTCCTCTCACCCTCAAGCATCAAGCGTTCAAAGGACATGGTGAGACCTTCTGCTGTCGGATGGCCTTGAACGGGAAGAGGGCCGTTTGAGAGTGAGCTGAAGGTCTTGACTATTACGAATATCCTACATAAAATGTGTGGTCTTTGCAAGCTTGAGACTTTGGGACAGATCTTCAGCCCTTGTTGAATATGGTCGCCCCTACAACTGGAGCTTTGGCTCCCTATCGAGGACCTGGGACGGACAGTCCAGAGCTGCACCTCGTAGGTAATGTTATCTTTTAACGTGCCAAGAAATGTTCAAAGAGACAAAAGCATCACATCACATGTTTTTCACTCCGATGCGGGCCGAGGGATGCCGTGATCGGAGATGGGGTGGGGACTCCGAGCGATTTTTTAAAAGCCGGAGTCAGAGCTACCAAAATCAATCTACTCCGCAGCCCTGCAAGCAAGTGCAGTGTCAGCAATTCGCATGATTCAATTTGTATACGAGTAGGTATCCGCAATTTCATCCCAAAACGACAATACACCAATTTCGTTGATCACTTTTTTAATCATTCATGAGGATATTTTTGCGGGGGACGTCCCCCCCGGATTCCTCGACTGGGGGGGACGCGTCCCCCCCGTCCCCCCCGGTTTCGACGCCCATGCTTATGCACCTATAGCTGGTGAATAGTCGCGGTCTCCAAATCCGATGCTAGAGCTTATGTATCATTTGCAGTCTCCATAATTGGTGTTATGGCATAATGTGTCGTTGCAGCCTCTGAAGTTGGTGTTACAGCTAATGTACCGTTGCAGTCCCCAAAAACTGGCCGGCTTATGTACCCACCGTTGCGGTCCCCAAAATTGGTGTTATAGCTATTGCATCGTTGCTGTCTCCAGAACTGGTGTTATAGCTATTATACCGTTGCCGTCTCCAGAACTGGTGTTATAGCTATCGTATCGTTGCAGTCTCCAGAACTGGTGTTACAGCTACTGTATCATTGCAGTCTCCAGAACTCATGGTGCTATAGCTATTGTATCGTTGTAGTCCCCAGAACTGGTGTTATAGCTATTATACCGTTGCAGTCTCCAGAACTGGTGTTATAGCTACATATTGTATCGTTGCAGTCTCCCGAACTGTGTTATAGCTACTGTACCGTTGCAGTCTCCAGATCGGGGGCTTACGCGGGCTGGGGGCGAAATTAAGCAAATGAAGTTATTTACGTCTTTAGACAGCTTAATCGATCTCCTCCAGCTAAATGAAGAGCAATAACATCCTTATTGAGCTGTCACTCTTGGCCGTAACGTACTGAATCATCTAAAGCCGTTTAATGACGATAAAAAGCAAATACAATCCATTACAGCACAGCCGAGCAACTAAAACACCAGCCTAAAATATGATCATTCTATTGAACAAGGCCAAACCAGCAGTAAGATCACATTTCAACAAAGACCCACCGGTCTTTGTTTGTCTCCTTTTCACACCACACCGTGGTTACCACTGGCTTCAATAGCAGTCCACCTCACGGCCCTGCTGAGGTACTGCCGCAGGGACCCAGCACTGACACCGCAGCGACACGCACACCTGCAGACACATCACCCGCCGCAGAACCACCTCCCAGGATATCAGACTGACGCACCTCGATAAACAGTGACTGCCGAAGAGTCGCACTGCGGCACCACACATAGCCAACTCCCAGTTCATGTGAGCGCCACGGCCCTCTGAACATGGCTGGCCCCTTCTGACGACTCACAACACGGGGGTACAAGACAGCTCGACTGGAAATTGGGTCCGGTACTGACCCACATCAGCAATTCACCGGGGTACGAAGGGATGTCAGCATCATCCGTTATTATTTACAAATGTAATATCAAGCCTAGATAGACGGTCCACTATTTTCATCTCATAAATTTCCTAAGATAAATATACAAATTTATCTAGCACATCACTCGAACCCCAGGGCACGGGGTGCCCCAATAATTGATCTGAAGCCTGCATATCACGCTCCAATGACTGCTCACATATCCCGTCCCTCGGCTATCTTGTGAAGCTCCATGACTGTCTGCTGCCTGTCGACAGCCAATTGTAGCCGATACGGCAGTTCAGCCGTACTTTGAGGACAGAGGCGCGGTAGACTGAGACACTATCAGTTCTATACGGCCGTGAGATGGCTTACTGTTCTGCTAAACAGGCCTGTAGAGTAGGGTGTCCCCAAAAAACTTTTTTGTTAATTTTTGACCGGCTGAAGGCTGCCCCCATTCCACTTGGCTGGGATATGATGCTGACAAAATTTCAAGTGAATCCGAGTACGTTTAGAGGTTGCGAGCAAATGAACATTTTTATCTCTTCTTAGGTGCATTTTAACATGGCTACTAGGATCGCATGCATGGCATGATTCAGACGGGGCAGAATCGTTCGCACTTTTTCCCTCCAGTCGTTTCAGCTGTTTCCTTGGCGGTTTCCGGAGGTTGGCCGCCACAATTTTCATCTTCAAACTGTCCGCAAGGCGATCATCGACGAGCATCATTCCAGAAACCATCGTTAGGCTCCTGATGGTGCCTGAAGTCGCGGGCAAATGCCGCGACCACTTCCCTTCTCTGCAGCTGCGTCTCGGTCGCATCTTTGTTGCCGGTTAACTTAAGATGAAGATCGTCCAGGCACATACACCGGATCAGGATATGGTCAGGTGTGTCGTCTCCTTGCAAACGGCGCACCTCACCGCTGAGTACCGCAGGTCGGGTCACCCTGGGCACTGGGCAGGTCCGCGCCGGGAGGCGGCCGATCCGGTGGATGTACTGGTACGACATACCTACTGCAGTATCCAGCACGTAGTTAATGCCGATAGGCATCCACCGCCTAGCCCTTGCTTACGCCAGAGACTGTGGTGGAGGTCGGCATCCGGTCTCCCCAGATCCTCTTGAAGAAGGAGTCTGGCCATGTCATGCGTCAAGCAGTTGCAGCCGCCCCTGCTCCGGCACTTGTGATGGCCTTTGCTTCTGCCGGCACCTCCTGCGGGAAGCCGGCTGCTTCTCTGACCAGCTCGTCGTCCCTCTTACGGTCCTACTGCCTAGGCTGAGACGGAATATGACGATCTCCAATTGCCGCCATGTTGAAGCAGCATTGGCATTCCTCTCGAAGACTTTGTAACCTCCTGGTCCATCCATGTTCCTGCTGACGACTCTGGTGGTGGACCCAGGTTTCATCGCGAAATAAACCAAGGAGTTTAAGGAAGGACGACGCAGCCTATCACATGGTCAGCCATAGAGCAAGGGCTCTTAATATCGTCAATGATGCCGCCGAACGGGGAATCTCGCTTATCTAGCGGTACAACACCACCACCAAGTCAGAAGAGCAGAAGCAATACCTGCTTCAGCTAGTGCATCACCATCAGCAGGCGCAGCCCAAGAAAATCAAGGATGGATAGACAAAGAAAGTGTTTCATAGATAGTGCAGTGCTACCTTCTGCTGTAAAATTGTCTAAATACCCTGATTTGTCATGCTTGTTCAATCGGTATATACCTACACATATTATGGAATGGGGTTTGCTCAGTTAAAAAGTGCACAAGCTCGCAACCTCTAAATATACTCTGATTCCTCTGAAACTCGACCAGTGTCTTCCTTACCGGTAGTGGAACCGGGGCAAACTTCAGCCCCTTGAATATTTCATAGTTTTGTTTTTCCCATGTATGCTTGGGACACCCTACTGTAGAGCTTGGCCAATGGGCCTGTAGAGCGTCGACTCGCGTTGGAAGGATACCTTCGCCAGACGCTCAGTGAAGTCATGGCTGCGCACAGCGGCATTCAAGAGGCTAGCGTATCTCGCAGGACAAGCAGAGCCGTCGAGGACGGCGTGGTCCGGGCAGGTCACTGGGCTGGGAGACTGTTGGGTCGGGGTACTACGCCCGACATCGCCGTACAGACCTGACATCTGGTGACTGGTAGTGATGACTCACCGGTAACCAGTAACCACTGTTCGATCACCACCGGCGCCAGTCCTTCACCAATCACCACCGTCGTTATAACACGGCGGCACCAGCACACCGGCACGGCCCGCCACCCCGCACTGCCGGATCAGTCTCTGTCTATGCTCAGTCCCTGTCTATCCCATCGCCTGCGGTCCGCCGTTGAGGAGCACGTCGGACACTGCCGGCAGCGGCGCCGGGAAGTGTACCAGGTGCGTGGTCAGCCAGTACATCATGATGGGCTGGGCGGCCGAGACGAGGAGCAGCAGGTAGAGTCGCCGCTTCACGCCGCTGCCGCCCTGGACGTCCTGCTGCGGCTGCAGCTGCACCTTCAGAGTCCGCACCTGGGGGGAGGAAGGGGGAGGTTCAGGTACCGGGGAGCGCCGCCAGGGAGGCAGGAAGGTAGCGGAGGGATGTGACATGAATACGGGCGTTTGACGAGCTCACTCGTAACGTAATCCCTATATTCTTTAAATGCTTTTCTGAAACCGAGTAAACTCAAAACTTTGCCGTAAGATGCGTCATTGTTGTGACTTTAACACCTCACCACTGCGACATGGTCTTACAAATGGCCACTTCTGGTTAAGTCCTATGACCAAGCACCACCAGCACTAAATCGGGCGTCTCGGCCATCTGCCATCTCACCCAGTCGCCTGCTGAGGGGGAGAAGGGAACATACCAGGAAGAGCGCGTTCATGGCGCTGCAGTAGAGCAGGACGCAGTAGTAGCCGGTCCGGTCGACGAACAGGCTCGAGAGCAGCGTCACCACCATCCTGGGCGCAAAACAAGGACCCCGAGTCAGGTGACGGGCAACACAACAGGGTATGCACTCAGAACGCGTATTGCTCAGCGTGGTATGGTAAAGGCAGAGAAAAACACTACACCCTCACAAATAAGGCAGCAGCACTTACTCAAGTATCTAAGTCACTTAACTGATCAAAATACATTGCAATGAACGTTACAATATCAAATATGAAACTAGATTACCACTCATTTCAAGTATCTCCTTGGCGGAAGGAGATTATTTTTCGACGACCTCCCCATACCAACCCATGCATACGGATTTCACTCGTACCCCGCTCATTCAGCTCATGCTTCAGCGCAGAGACTCACCCGACGAATTTATAACCGGAGAAGGCGATGATGTCGAAGGTGCGCAGGTTGGTCTGCGTGTTCAGCACGTACATGGTCAACAGGACCACCAGCACCTCGAAGATCATCCAGGCGGTGGCCGAGCTGGCCTGCATGCCGAGGACCTCGGGACTGAAGCGCTGCTGGCGGCCCAGTAGGAAGCCGGCCACCAGGATGTAGGTGATGAACGCCATAGCCGGGATGTAGAGGTCGGGAGCGTTCACCTCGTGCCGTGGCTGGATGGGCTCCTCCGAGCTGTACCGTACCGACCAGTCCTGAGAACGACACGACATCGGTGTGTCAGTGTGTCAACGTAACGCACTGAAGCCAAAATAAATAGCAAAGCACGGTCATGGCGTTTAAACATCGTCAGTTTCTGTCAGAGGAAGTCGAGCTTGCAGATCAAATACCTAGGTCGAGCATTTTCATAATAAATACATTTTCAGAAGAAGCAGGCCAGCAAACACAGTCAAAAGAAAGAGAGAAAGCTAGACATGAATCTTATAACCATCACTGATCACACAAATGCATACCTATCAACTGACAAACAAAACAACAAACCAACTCCACTGTAAACCGATTCACTCACCGAATTTGTGAACGGGAAGAAGAGCAGCCTCAGTTTTCTGCTGACGTACGCCGTGTCGACGGCGAAGTAGTACTTGAGCCGCGATATGGACATGTACTTTTCCATGCTCTGCTGGACGGCCTGCCGGCCCTGCCCGAGCACGTTCTGGCCGTACTGCATGGCCATGTCCTGCATGGCCGGGTTCTGCAGCATCTGCGCGCCGGGGAAGGCGGCGCCGTACGGGCTGGACGGCGGCGGCGCGTGCGAGCGCTGGTGCATCTGCTGCTGCTGGGGCGGCGGCGGCGCCGTCTGGTCGTACCCGTAGCCGCCATAGCCGGGCTGGGGCGGCGGGTACCCTGGGTGGGCGGAGCACGGGTCGGGTCAGCGGCGATCAGAGGGGCGCTAGGCAGTCATCATTGAGCAGTGCAGAAAACAGATGACGAGGTAACAGCCACAAACAGTGGGGCGATCCTTATGGACATAATGAGACCTGTTTTGCAAATTGTTGCCTCGCTGAACACAGCTTTAGTGGCAAAAAAAAAATCGAAGCAGCAGTGCCCTGCAGATTTGGAGCTCCTTAATTTATAAAATGGACATACTTTAACTAGACAACACACAACACAAATAATGAAATAGCATGAATATAAAAGCTTACCTCCATAGTTTGGCTGCTGACCATATTGGTTTGGGTCTTGTCCATATTGGCCTTGGTTTTGATGGCCATAACCACTATTTTGTTGGCCATATTGGTTATAGCCATCATAGTTATAGTCCATCTTGCAGTTTTCACTTAAGTATGTTTAAGTGCTACTGCTAAATAAGTATCTGAAAAAATAGCACATTAAATGCATACAGCATAGAACCTAAATGAAAAAACTGGAATAGTATGAAAAAGTAGCACTGCTACTGTGATAGCCATAAATATATATTTTAACTTATAAGTATTCTGCCATGTTTGCTACCAATAATAACAATAAATAGCAATAAACCTGAATAATGAGTCAAGGAAATTTAGTAGCTAATTGTATGAAATAGAAACATTCATTTAAATTAGCCTTTCATGAGATTGTTCAGCTACCTTGGCCAAAGACCATTGGCACAACTTGAACTGCAAGTAAAACAAAAGATCCTGCAAGTTAGTCAAGCTCACTGTGGCACAGCTAATAAGGAATATAAGTTTTCTTGATTTTGATAAAAGCATATACAATATAATTGAATATTCATGATAGGCACACTATGTGATTCCATATCTCTTCAATTGACTTCAACATAAATAGCCTCTTTTTTCTTTTAACAGCTGCAAAATATTTAGGATAACAGATGCCTGTACCAAGATGCTTCTATCTCTGTTGCTTCTATGTTTTGTAAATATTGCACATAAGTGAATGTTATAGAATAACACATCCTGAACTCTGGAGCCAGATGGCCAAGATCATATTTGATTAGATCACCCACTATTTATATAAATAATTAGCCCTATTGCTCATAGCATGACTCAGTAATAAATTTGACTAAGGGCAATCAATATCTCATACCTACTCAGATTAATGGAAAACATCACTTTATTTCATTTTAGGACTGCAAATCAATTCAGACTCTGTTAGCATTATAAAGGTTATTGCTAATGAAACACTGAGCCAATATTGACCTGTGTCCAATCAAGGTAAAATAAATAGGTGTAATCTGAAACCAGGGCACCTGGGTCGATTTTATCAAGGCTCTTGAAATTCTCTTGCACAAATCACATAACAATTAGCCTGTGGAAGGCACCAAGTGGGGACAAATTCCATTGAAGTCACATGACTAAATATGCCCTCCGGCACCATTTTCTGATTCCATCAATAATTATGCGTGGCCTGTCAAGCATCAAATTTGAATTGAAGTTAATTATTAAAACACAAGAAACCTTATGCTCAATATTTCCTTGGCAGTTGGCACTCAAATAGTAACTTAAGTCCATGAGACAGAAATAATATATTATTTGACACAAGAAACACTTCCAATAAAACTAATTAGCAAAAAACTATTTCCACAATCCCAAAAAGAAACTGAAACTTTGCGGGAGTGGAATTACGACACCACCAGTCAGCCAAATACATGGGTTATACAATTTTACAGGGGATATAGCTTTCGAAAACTTGAAGTATCACCAAAATATAAAAATGTACATAATAAACACGAGCAAACTACTAACAACAAACATCCAGATAGATTCAAAACTCAGAAACAGACACACACACTCACGGAGCCGCCGCCTCTGCTGCCAAATCTAGGGTCCAACGCAGCTGAAGGAAAGTACAGGTTTATATGTAACCTGGAAAAAAACGTTCGGACCGGGATATCAAAAACAAATAAATGCGTATTTATTCTCATCACAGGATGTTTGAAAGATTCGTGAAAATAATATTTTTTACAATATTTTTCGAAGAAACGTTTTAAAGCAAAAACGTTTTAGTCTTTTATTTTTTCTCCCGATTCTGGATGTCTAGAGGTTTCTCTCTTTTTTCTTTTTCATATGGTACCTCTTGACAGGGCATTTTCAACGCATAAGAGTTGAAAACTGGCGCAACAAAATTTTCTCTTGCGTAGTTTTATACGTCTTTCGCTCGAAATTTCTGCTTGTGTGTGGACATTGTAAGTAAGTATGTGGAAGGTTTGGAGGTTTTAAATGTTTATTGACCGTTTCTATTTGTTAACGTTCTTTTTCAAATGCTACCCTCCCGTAATACTGATATTTTTCTTCATTAGCAGTAGCTAATGATAAGCAGACGAGTTGCCTCAGTGGTTATGCAATTTCAACTTAGGTCATAGGTACTTGGCCTAAGGATTTCTTATTTCATCTTGATCCTGCTCCTTCTTAGTGTAACATCTTGGACTAAGATGTGGAAGTAGATATTGCCTCAGTGAGAGTCAAGTGTGGTCTTGCATTTGTGGATTCCATTGGATTAGATGGGGGATAAGATAGGAAGCATGATTAAAGGAAATAGTTCACTTTTTAACATGGGTTTTGAACTGGAATAGCAGTTCCGTAGCTTGGGCTGAGACGAGCATAAATCAGGAGCTTTTACAGCCCAACGATCACCCTAGGCAAAGATATTCTATTTCTCGTCTCGAAAAAGGTGTCTTGCGTTGAGGATGTGTGCCTTGCATATATTTCCATCCAGTATGAAAAGAGCATGGGTCCCGAAAATTCTTCAGAAAGTAGAGAAATTATCTACGAGAACTCTAGAGAAATTCTCGTACTGATCAATTAGGACATTCAGGGGAACATTATCAGATCGAGCAGATCGCCCAAATGCCGGTGGCTGCGATAATTTCTCTGTTTCTGAAGAATTTTCGGGAACCATGCTCTTTTCATACTGGATCGCGACTGTGCCTTACAGAAACTGAAAAGTTCTTCCTATATCAAAATATAGAAAATAATCTTTTGTTATAAAAAGGTTTTATTTTCTTTGCTGATTATTTTGAACATAAAAAATCATAAATCCGTTGCAAAAAAAATAATTTCGTGAAAGTGAACTATTTCCTTTAAGTCTATCAGTATCAACATGAGGTATTGAAGCAGCTTAGCCCTATCACTAAGGATGCGTTCACAGTCTACTCAGATGAAGAGCATTCTACATCGTCCGGCCAATCCCTTTTGATAACCACAGCCAAGCCCTCGCTGACCTTGACCCCATTGGTCGGACGACGTAGAATCTTGTCCAGGAGACTCAGAATCCAGGGCTAGTTCACAGGCTGGTACAGTTTATTTTGAATCGCTTTGGCTGGGGTCCTAGCTAGCTAAGACTGCATAATGCCTGGAACACTGCTTTAAAGCCTGCAAATCATCAGCATCTCCTGTAGGAATGCATGGCATATTTTCTGTTTTCAGCTCAGCACAGTGAGTTGAGTGCTGGGAGGGGAAAATGCCATGTTTTCTATGGGAAGATGCTGTTTGCATGCTTAAAAGCTATGTTCCAGCCTAGCCAACATAGAAACTTAGCTAGGATCCTGACTAAGTTTTTTTCAGATGTTTACATCAGGTAATAGCCTGAAAAACTACACTTTGAACCTTGGGCATGTGAGGATCAAATGTCTGGCTTTAATACTACCAACTTTAGACTTGTAACTCCCTTCCCTCTGCCAGCCAGGTCGCTCAGCGCGCACATCACAATGGGTCTCGGCTTCGGAAACCTTCACAAGAGCCGCGGCATCGTGGCCTACCGGCTGTCGCCGTTCGAGCAGCGCGCCTTCGCCGGCATCACCAAGGCGCCGCTGAACTTCCTGCGCCGCATCCGCGGCAACGTCTTCACCGTGGCGCCCCGTGAGTTACGCCCGGGTCTATCCGACCGTGCACGTGACGCCCATCGGATTCCGTCTGTCCGTGTGATGGGGCGGCTGATGAGTTGGGACATAGTGCAAGAAAGATCGGTGTGATCGTGTATCTCCGTAATATGGCACCGATTCCAGTGTTATGGCACTTTTCCCATTTACACAAGTTTTCCTTTTCTCCCCGTGTCAGTGTTGGCTACGTCGTCACTTCCGCTACGCCAACGCTCTTTTCTTACGCGTTTGTCTGTCCGGCAGCTTTCATCGTGGCGTACCTGGTGTACAACTGGGGCGAGGCCGAGTACGCCCGACTCTCCAGGAAGAACCCGGCCGACTTCGCCAACGACGTCTGAGCGCGCCCTGTTTGTGTGCGTGTGTGTAGCTGAGACAATGGACTGACGCGGGTGACCGACAGGCGCGGTGTTCACCGGGTTCCAACAACAGTGCGTCAATGTGCTGCGGAGTTAAATCCGCGCATCGGCCCAGCCGGTGGTGGTTAGGTGAATTTTATTAGATCGGAAATACAAACTCCGTAACATCGTCGTACGTAAACCATCCGAAGTGTATGAGACAATACACGAAACTGATAATTATGGACGGTGCTTTTTTTGCGGCAGAAGCGGGTTGCACTGTGAAAAGTACGTATCCAGAAATATGTATCAGTTCTATTCCTAATAAGTAGGTAAAGTGTCGTTCCCTGGTACCGCGAAGAGGCTATGTCGGCTTTCTCAGACAAGACCACCTACCAACCACTCACCGCCGTCTGCCATGAAACACACCGGTTAGCTGTGGCTGTTTATTGAAATGTCACAACATCGAGGACAAACTGGATAAAAGGTGGCGCACAGCTGCCCCGCAGAGCCTCCCAACTCACCTGGGCGCAGTGACGGGACCTGGAATACTGCCAACGGGCTACTGGGAGGGAGAGGGGCGGGGGAACTCTCAAACACACACACACGCACGCACGGCACGACGCCGGGGCCACATTGTGCGGGTACAAGTCTCCATCCGACTGGGCTAGAGCTGGCGCCTGTGAAAGCAAAGAAACGCTGGCAGTGCAGGACGCCACTGAGACCTGGGAAATATGAAGAAAGATTGGCGTTACATGCTGCACTTCCGCACTCTGTCTCTTCAGGAGATCCTGAAAACATCAGCAAAAAGACACGGGTCCAGTTTGCTCCATCTACCTGTGAAAGAGAAGCAAGCTGCGCTGTATGAACGCGTCCACGCTCCCATCCAAAGCCAAAGTACAGGCTGGCCACGACTGACGTCGCTCACTATTCCTGTGGATGGAAGAAATAAATGGTTAGAGAGCGGGGAGGGGTGAAGGTCGCCGGAAGATCCACCGCTCCTGGCGTTCCTCCGACGTTCGCCAGCTCCGGTTGCCAGCAGGTCCAGGTCGCCGCCCGTAGTGAAGCTCCCAGCGGCCGTGACAGACCGATATCAGCGCCGTGGCAGACCAGTATCGACAGAGCTGTCACCGCCGACAGCACACAGGCGGCTTCATCTTCGTGGTGACAGTGCCGAGTTCTGACATATGACAGCTCACGTTACCGAGACAGGCCGAGTTCTAGACAGATGACAGCTCAGGCATCAGTACTGGCCCAGTTCGGAGATGTGGCTTGAGTCATGGTGCGCCACAGGTATACAGCATTGGATATTGAGTAAGGACTTGAAGATACGAGCAACACTCCGAACGGCCCTCGCTCCCTGGATGTTTTTTTTTCTTCACTTGAGTCTCTTTTATGACTGTCTTCGTCTGCCACGGCCACGGCCTCCAGTGCAGGAGTTGCTTTGCTTTCAACGTTGTTTTTGCTTCTTTTCTGACCGCCACAGCTTGAAGAAGCCATTGTCTTGGATACGTCCTTGCTACGATGCGTTTTGTGGAGCAATTACAGTGGTTGCGCTTTATTTCAGCAACGTCCCTTCATGTTATTTTACCATTGCATTTTCTTCGAAGAATATTATTGTCGTGTCTTGCCGAGAACAAGTTTGTCAACTCATGTTCATACTTCAATCCCATTTTTTCCTGTTTCTACTTTCTTCAAACTTTGAAATGTGTTCAAAATAGTACCGGATTGGTAGCCGCTGAGAATCTTCTACATCTTCCATCTGGAAAGGCGTCGCATCTTGCAGTGGTGCAATTTCTACAAGAGGGACAGGAATCGTACAAAGGTGGCATTTAGAGAACATGTGAGTAAAGGAAGCCAAGGATCGGGCTTGATGCGTACGGTGGTTGTTGTGACAAGAGGAACAGTGCAGCCACAGACGGAGAACATTATTGCAAGGGGAATAAAAAAGCGAAGAAACTGAACGAGTGAACGGCGAAACATCAGGCAGCGGGGTCGCACGATTATACACCTTTCCCGCCCTGCGTCAACCGCCAGCTTGCGGCTGGACAGTGCGTTATCGGCGTATGGCCGACGGTACAGCTCCGGTACTGGTCGCTCGCTCACTCGCTCAGAAGCTGGCCGTTCACGTCCGAACAACAGACACACAGAGAACACGGTATTCGTCAGGCCGCTGCAGATCCTCCAACTGACGCGCCCGTTGCGTATTCACAAACTCAGTCACCGCAGTACAACTCTCTGAGCTCACTCACATGCATCCCAAACTCAAACTGACGTCCCACAACTCCAGGCAGTAGACGACACCGGTCAGTCCTTCACTCCTTTGTTCGCCTCGCCTCCCACTCTCTCCCACCTTCCCTGCCTGTGTCTCCCCTCTCTCAGCAGTTTGTACAGTTCTCCGCCCGCGGGGCGCTCAGTAGCGGTTGCCTCCCCGGAAGCGGCCCCGTCCACCGCGCTGACCGCCCCGCTGACCGCCGCCCTGTTCGCGGTACCCTCCAGCGCGCTCGCTGTACTTGCCGCTCGGCGGCTGGTACATGCGCCGGCCGTCCTTGTTCTTGTTGGCGCTGTCCTGACCGCCGAACGTGATGGGCACCCGCCGCTTGTCGCCCGGCTTGGCGGTCGGCGACTCGGCGGTCACCTTCTGATGCTGCTGCTGCGGAGACACAGGCGGGTTAGGTCAGACAGGAGCGTGAAGGATGGAGAGAGGAGGAAGGAGAAAGAGACCATATATTCAAGGGACATGACACTGCTGTTTGCATGCATAAAATACCAAATTTTAAATTAAAGCTGAATTCACCAAAGCTAACTTTTCACATTGAACCAAATTATTACTGCTCTTTGTGTGATCAGGGTTTCAACTTGACTTTCACTAGCCAAGTGTACCGTGTAATCGCAATGACACTGGCGACTTCAGCCGAGCTGCGCCGCGCCGGTCTTACCGCGGTGGCCGATCCGGCCTGCGGCTTCCACGACAGGCTGACGGTGCTCTTGTAGCTGGGCGGCGTGTGAAACAGGTCCTTGATCATCGTGTTGATGTTGGACGTGGTCTTGAGAGCCACGGCGCGCAGCTTGTTCTCCTCAGACTTGAGGTCAGCGTCCTTCAAGGCCTCACGAAGCGACTTGATGTACGCCTGAGTGCCTCGCGCCAGGTACTGGAGTCTGCATCGAAAAAAAAAAACACAGCACGTCAGGGAAAGTCACACAACTAAAACAAAGAATATCCTTCGTTCAAAATTTCTCCACACCGCAGCTTAATGTCTCGTACGGTGTTTAAAGGTAGTGTGCCAGCTTTCTTGGACCGTATGGAGTTAATGGCCCAGATAAGGAGAACCGGATTTTTAGAACTTATCCATACCTTCAAAACTCATGGAAACGTCTTAAATTCTTCAAATTTTGAGTACCCCAGTGCGAAATTCGCCCCGACGGGTTGTCGGTCGTACCCCAACCACATTTCACACCACTATGAACAATAAATGCACACACTGAAATCGCTATTACCGATATGCTCATCCAATCAAGTTTCGATAAACCCGTTCATCATCATCTCCTGCGGTTTCGAACACGCCTGTTAGGTGGCTTCTGATGCTCGTCGAGGTCGGAATTTCCAAATACGCGTGGTGCGTCGGGCCGCGCGCTCTGACTTCGGCCAAGAAAAATGCGTCAGCTGATCATTGTCATTTCTGCCACTTGCGTGTGGTGAAATGGGGTCATAACTTATAAGACGGCTTTTTCATATCAATTATTTTACATAAAATCATATTTCAAACCATAAATAATGTTCGACAGCCAAATAAAAGAAACAATACCAATACGGGCTTACAGTTTAAGGCTCGACATTGTGTTGTCTACGATTAGACAGCTGATAACTCATTCCCGTACGTCGTATGGTCGTAACACTATAATGACCTTTGCTTATTGTCACAAGTGCGCCGCATTCGCGATTGTTGCCCGACGCCTGTTTGCAGGTGAGCCCACTACAGTTGTTATACATATCTAAAAACCGAAAAACTTTTAGGCGAAAAAGGCACTATTCCAGGCCCATTTTTGATTTTTTTTTTTGCGATATTATGTAAAAACAGAAGCTTCTTATCCTAGGAAAAATAAAATGGGAAATCTTTCAAAGGTGGCACACTACCTTTAAATCATGTACGAATCAATGGTTCAAACACAGCTCGCTACGCGTTCCACAGAATCACTGAAACGTCCGGTCACCGACCTGAGTCTGAACTCCTTGAGTCGGTCTGCGTCGTCTGTGAGCCAGCTGGGCACCCTCCTGGCCAGCTGGTGCAGCGTGAACATCAGACACTCGATGTGTGAGAACTCGAGGCTGGGCGGATCGCCGACGGCGCCATTCTCCTCGGTGACAGGCGGCGGCAGCGGCATACGGTCCTGGGGAAGAGAAGTGAGTTAGACAGGGGACACGGTCGGGTGGCTACGGCCTTGTGGAGAGAGGAACACTAGCCGCACTGCAAGATGCATTACAACTGTACAAACTGAAAGTAAACTCATCAATTCAATTATATAAATTAGCGAACAATACATTAAAACACACTAACACATTTGAGATCAGAAAACAAAACTGACAGAAAAGTGCCGCGGCATCTTTGAGCTTTTTTACACTTAATAAGAAATTGAATATAGTTGCTACCCATCATTACCAGCAGCCCCTGAGCCGGCCACGTACCGTGAGTGCGGCATAGAGTTTGTCGCAGCGCGCGGCCGTCTCCTCCAGCTCGCCGCAGTACTGTGACATCTCGGCCAGCGGTTTGAGCAGCTCCAGCTGCGCGTCCGCCGACAGCTGCTCCAGCCGCGGCACCACGGCGTCCACCAGGTACCCCACCAGCTGCGTGGGACGCGTCTGACGCTGGGGAGGGGGCGGGGAGTCAGGGGGACCGATCTAGCACTGGGGAGAAGGCGAGGGGAAGGGGAGTCAGGAGACTGTCCCAGCTTAGCCTGTGACGTGTCTGATTCTGCAGTTACATGGCGACTAACTCATTATCCGACTCCGTTTACGTCTGCTGTCCTCCGCTGAATGCACGACCTCACACAGTCATGCGCAATTCATTCGGCCTCACAGACCCTGCATGACTTACCGAGACATATCTGATGGCCTGTCGGATGCAGAGCAGCAGCTTGTCGGCGCTCTCTGAGTCGGTGAGGTCGAGCTGGTCGGCCGGGTCGAGCTGCTCCTGAACCAGCTGCAGCACCTGCTGGTGGCCGCTAACGGTGCGGCCCGTCTGTGTGCCTGAGAGGATGTCCAGGAACTGGACAAACTCCTCGCCAGAAACGTCCTGCGCCGAGACAGAGAAAAACGTGAGAGCGCGACAGGTGCGCAAGACGCCGGGCACGGAATGTGTGGTACACAATGTCCGTGACAATGATATGTTGGATACGACCGCGGCAGCTATAGTGGTAACAGATAGCTCTGCGGGAGTGTGGAAAACACTTTACCTACGTTGAACTACATTACGCCAAATCAATATTTACACACGTCAAGAGAACAGGAAATCAAACGTCGTTCTTACCTTCAGTGACTTTTTGACTTCAGTCCAGAGTATTTCCTCCGCCTCTTTGTTCATGACCTCCTTATCGAACGTTTTCACTTTGGCCGCCAGGTATTTGATGGTGCGTTCCCTGATCACATTGTCTTCTGCCTCATCTGACTGGATCTGTGAGAACAGGCCGTACAGGGTTCCTGCCGGCAGAGCAGGCGCCACGTCAGAGAAACGGATCGAATATTCCAAGCCAGCATATGACGATATCATGTGATAATAGCCCAAGTCTATGCTATATAATTGAATGGTGTAAATGTCTCGTCCATGTAAATGTCTCGTGAGCGTGGTCCGGACACCCACCCTTGGCGTCGATCTTGAAGAGGACGGTGAGCGAGCTGTGCACCTCCTTGATCTCGGTGGTGTCGTCCGACTGCAGCAGCTGCGCCAGCACGTCCGCGATCTTGGGCAGGAATGTCCGGTTCTCGCGGCACAGCTGCGGAAGATCCTTGATCGCCTGCTTACGGATCTGTCGGCGCGGCCGGAACGGGTCAGAGGGCGGGTCTGGCACGGCTCAGAGGAAAGGCCCCAACAAGACCGGCCTGGGGGTGGGTATGTGCACTGTGCAGGATGGGTTAGATTAGATGGCAGGTCAGGGTAAAATATCAGGTGATTGCAATAACAGGTAGGCAGTGTCAGTCATGACAGACTCTGTGCATCTGTTTTTAACAAAAGTCATTCTCAACACTCAGGTATTATGTTCACAACTAGCATAGATGAGGTAGGTACCTGTTGAATACAAAAATTGATTATCTTTCTTAGTGCCCCTAAGGTCATCAAAGGTCATGTAAGGCTTCCAGCAGTTTTTCGGCTATAATTTTTGATAGAAACATGCTAGAGCAATTAAAACATCTTGAATGTATTCAGCTCCATGACAGGGATGGTATGATATGAAACATGACTTTTCCTACCCCTAGGTACCAAAATGTTTACCTTAGGTAAAATTTTCTTATATACTTTTAAGGTTCAAGTATGATTTGATGAGTCACTATGAGAAAAACACAATACCAGCAAAATAAATAAAATAATCCATGGTTTCAAAAGGTGTTGCATAAAAACATGTATCATTACATCAAAAATTGGTTTTTGCCCTCTAGAGATGGAACTGTTGACTATAGGTCATATCTGAAAACATCATTCAGGAAAAGCACTAAAAGAGATAAGGAATGAGTTTTTCTCTAGCTCAGCATCTCTATTCATTGTTGAGTGATGGGACTTGTCCAAATTTATGCAAATGGATGAAATTTAGCCTAAAATGACCATTGCAGAACATACTAAAATGACCATAAAGTAAAATGACCATACCATCAAATGACCTTTGACCTGAGCTTAATATGACTACATTAATTTCTTCACACTTTTTGCTGCATTTTTCACAATGCCTTCCATGTGTCACTATGTAGCCCAGGAGCCAAGTTAGAAGTGGAGGTGTTCACTGTTTAAGCACAGCTACCTACAGCAAGACATGGAAATCCAGGAGACCCAGCAAGGTGCAGGTAAAGTAATTTGAATAGGGAGATTGATTTTTGATTGGGTGGTTACTGGACTTTGATAAAAAAAATCCCTTGATTCTAAATTGGTCCCTCTGTAAACTATTATTCAATATATTGCAGGACTTAAAAAATGCATGAACTTACTGAGGTATCTTCATCTTCACATAGGTCTAGAATTGAATCAATGGTCTGATCCGCCAAGTTGGGGAAATGTTTGAAGAACCGAGCAATGAACTGTGATGCAAGACGCTTCTCGTTGGCATTCCCTTTGACAGCTTCAAGAATTTCAAGATACTCCTTTTCATGCTGAAAAAGGAGACATTTATCAATGCAACATTTTATTTGACAGTCAAAAAATATGGCCACAACAGAAGTTGAAAGTACAACTAATGAATTGTTACAGCAGAGCAAACTAGGTGAGTAAATCAGGTGAGCAAAGACACTAAAATTAACATGCAATATATTTTTTAAAGAGTGGAGGAATTGCAACTTGCAAGTTAAAAACCACAGGCATCACATTCTAAAAATTATTGGTAGGCTCTTATCATTTATTCTAATTTAACATCTTAATTTTCTATCAGTTAGTTAACATCAATTTAAAAATACCAATAAGGCTAGCATTAAAATCTGAACTTATTGGCGGGACTATAAGGGTCCCATCAAACGCGGAAGATTCCACCAAACCTGTGCAAAATAACACCCATAACTCACCTCCTTCGCTTTATCTTTGGCACTGCTCAGGATTTCAAAATTTTTATACAATCTCTCAACAATATCCATTTTTAGCGAATGCAGAAACTAAGAAAAATACACGCTGGTCCCTACACTTAATCCAGCGAAAACGGCAAATGGAGGCAATAGTACAAAACTGATGTTCACAGAATAAAGATGTCTGCTGATGTTTATCAATATGAAGTTTTAATTTTTGTTGCAACGGATTGAGAATAATTATTTCAGCCAATTTCAGCCTCAACTCCTATCACTATACACACGCGCACAAGCCACAACACCCGCGCGAAAGAGACACACGCGCCCCGCGCAAGCCGGTATTGGGCACATATTTTTTCAGACTCCTGATATTGTTTTCTAGGGATAAAATGGATAAAACTCTAAATTTTCTCAGCATCTTTAATTTAGGAAAATGTTTTTTTTTTGAAAACTACTGACTGGGAGCGTATTGAATATAATTTCAAATAATGAACATAACAAATATATTTTCAATTTTCTTTTAAACTCTAATTAAAAAGGAAATTGAAAATCTTTTTCGAGAATTTTTTTTCTATTAACTTCAATGTAGAGAGTTCTCCCCAACAAGTCCTTAGAATGAGCGCAATATGTTCTATAAAGTAAAGTACATTGTTTTGTTCATAAAAAATAAAAAAATAAATAACTTTCTTTGGAAATCAGAATTGATATATGAAATCATACAACAATACTACTTAGTTAAGAAATGCAGTCATCAAATGGCTCTCAAATTGGGAAATTTGTTATTGGTTGACTCTGCAATCATTCAAGACGATAAATAAATACCGCCAGGATTTCATTTTGCCCGTTACTAGAGAGGATACGAAATAGACGCAGTTTTGCGGCAAATTGGCCACGCTGACGTGTCGGCGCTGTGGAATGAGGGAGGGCGCCGGCGAAGCTGTTTTAAGTGATAGCATATGTTGGGACGTGATTAAATGCGCTTTTGTTTCAACTCTCTTATTAGTATTGTTGTCCTAAATTGACTGCAGGGAGCAGGCATTTACCAAGATGCTGACCAAGTTTGAGACCAAATCAGCAAGGGTGAAAGGCTTATCTTTTCATCCTAAACGACCATGGGTTTTGGCAAGGTAGGTACCAATCTATGTTTAATTGTCACTTTTTACATATCTGCAGTCTGCAGAATGATGCTCGTTTTTGTGAGGTTCACATAAATATAACTTTAATAGCCATTTCACCTATTTGTGATGTGTTCGGAAGGTTTATGTTTTGATTCCAGAAGCCTGGTTTGGCCAACTGAGTAGTTTGAGTTGCACACTTACATTAATTAAGACCAAACAATGTTATGATAAGCTGTATGTGGCTCTGTGATGAAATCCATGGCATTAGTGAAGGTGTTTGTGTGATTAGTGGCTATACCTCATGGATCATACCAGCTGACCTAATGTCATCCAATATTGGGTCATTGAATGGATTCATCCAATATCCATTAATGCCATTATCCATTATCCATCCATCATCCATCCATTATCCATCAATCGATTTATCCATTAATGAGCAGTGAGCACCTAGTACCTACCTACAATCTTTGACCCCTTAGGTTACAGGCATTACTTTTCTGTTGCTGAAGAACATTTATGTATGTATGTTCTGATCAGATGATAAGCATTTCTTCCCTCTTCTGCTGGTTGTTTGATAATAAGTTTGTGATTATCAGAAACAACCTTAATGATTAATAGTGTCTTGTGCAGCATTTATTCTAATTAGGATTTGATTGGGGATAGTCTGGGATGGGGTACCCTGTCTGCTTACTTCTTTAGCATCCTGTTCAATGCAAACTAAGCAAACTAACTCTAAAAATGACATCTAAAGAACAATATGAAGGTCTATGAGCCTTTTACTCTGGGCTTTATGGATATTCTGTTAACAATTACAGCTAGAGGTAAATGTGATTGGCAAACTAACCTGGCAAACTGCAGGATTGAGAGACTGACTTGCTCTCAGGACATACTTGCGCTAATAAAATGCACTGGTGCTTTGTGTTCTTTCAAAATTAATAATGGATTATGAAGTGGCATCTAATAGCAGTATCACTGTGCAGTGTGGTTAGTACCTATTTTTTAACCAATATCATGCTAAGTAAAATTTCATAAACTAGATCTTTGATGTATATGTTTACTATTTTACCACTAATTCTTCTGATATGAGCTATTCATTCACCATAATATACTCAGTTAACACAGTTTTACTGTCATCCCAGGAAAATTAGACTGACACATACCTATTTTAATTTGTGTGTTTGTCTCATCTTTTTTCTTTGAAAGAGGAGAGTATTTGCTGAATTATTTTACCAGTCTTTATCACAATGTCTGGTCATAAAGCTGTAAAGGAAGTTAGAATTTTTCTTCCAAATATAATAAATTTAATGTTTAACCCTCGCCCGTATTGGTGTTTTTCCAGCCGCGAACGTATAAGGGGGGGGGGGTCCGTTGGACCCCCCCTTGCCGTTTCGCCCCTGATCGAGCTAGAGCTTCGCGGAAAAAACGAGCGTGTTGCCCTTGACGAGAGGAAGCCGATGATACCCAATTTTAAGGTCCTAGGTCATTGGTTGACCTTGCAGGTCAGGTCAATGACCCAAAAGTCGGGAAAATCGGGACCTGTTAGAACGTCGTAAAGTGTGGCTGCTATGGGGTTTTTCGGGGTGCTGATCACGAATATCATGTTAGTTTTGATCACAGATGATGTCTTCATGCATTTAGGCCAGGTCGGGTCAGGTCAGGTCAGGTCAGGTCAACCAGTAAGGGTATTCGTAGTAGATGGCAACCGCCTCTGACAGCTTCGTAACATGCTACGAAGGCACCAAAACTACTTCGTAAATGTTCATATGGTTGCTAAAGTCGAATTCAGCTCCAAAAACTGGCCTAGAAACATGTAAAACTCGAAAAAGTGAACCGAGGTCATCAAAGGTCAATGACCTGACCTGACCTTCAGGTGACCTTGACACCCACCCTCATGCATGGGGGCAACATCATATCACATGTTTGAACGCTTGAAACCACGAAAAGACTGCAAACGCGCGGCTAATGCGAGCCGACATACGCCGAATCGCGATTCCGGCCAAACATGGTCTCGAAAAGTAGGTCACAGGTCAAAGGTCATTTGGGTCAGGGTCATGAAATTTTCAGGGTAGGTGTAAAATTGATGAAAGCGAGGGTACTGAAAGTTTCGTCGCGATCGGCCGCTTTTTACGCGAGTTATTCGCGAAAAAACATGGGGGGTCCGTTCGACCCCCCCCCCCCCCCCTATACGGGCGAGGGTTAACTGGACTCCAATAATATTCATCTGCATTTTATAGTTTGTAGTGATGAGCATTTTTGTCTGAATAAGTTAATGAGCAGCTGATCGATGTTTGCTCTTGTAACTGATAAAAACTGAAGCAGTGAGCACACTAGACTGCTGTCCCGCCTGTCTCCATTTGTTCACAGTTCCCGGACACACACCACTCTGCTGGCGTTGGTGTGTGACCCACCCACTTCATCCTCCCTCAGTTTGCACAGAGCCACCAGACACTCCTCGCCCGGCGTTGGCACATGACCCTCCCGCTCCGTCTTCCCCCAGCTTGCACAGCGGAGTGATCCAGCTATGGGACTACCGGATGTGTACGCTGCTGGAAAAGTTCGACGAGCACGACGGCCCCGTGCGAGGCATCTGCTTCCACATGCAGCAGCCGCTCTTTGTGTCCGGCGGCGACGACTACAAGATCAAGGTGGGTCAGAGAAACCTAGGGATCATTGATTTGTTGTCGATGCTTCGTTTGTTGTGTGAGGTGTCTAGTCTTCTATCGTTTGCTACCATTTTCCGTAATCACCGTAGCGTTATCGTCCTTTTGCATTCATTTGTAGAGCAAGTAGCTTATACTTGGCGCAAGCAGCATTGTTTACCATATAACATGCCTCAGCGCAGACCTGTCATCTGGATTAGTCCTGTGTCTTGTCTCAGGCCCCGGTCATGTCTACCGTTCACGTATGTTACCGACACATCTCGCTGCAGGTGTGGAACTACAAGCAGAAGCGGTGCGTGTTCACGCTGCTCGGCCACCTGGACTACATCCGGACCACCGAGTTCCACCACGAGTACCCGTGGATCATCTCTGCCTCCGATGATCAGGTCAGTGATAGGGCGCAGCGGCGACCTCGGAGACTCGCCGGCCGCTGGAGACGCGGCGTGTGGGCATCGATCTATTAACGACGGAGTTCCGTCTACTTGATGATTGATTCAATGTACACGATAAATGTTGTTTGAGGTGTTCTGCGTTGTTTGCAAACGTCTATCGCATGGGCCTGTATTTCTCCAGTTACATTTATCACCTCGAATCCCATTTATCACGGACACTGACCTCGCCGTCTGATCTCCCGCAGACGATCCGTATTTGGAACTGGCAGCGGCGCAGCTGCATCTGCATCCTGACGGGCCACAACCACTACGTCATGTGCGCCCGCTTCCACCCGACCGAGGACCTGGTGGTGTCCGCCTCGCTCGACCAGACCGTCCGCGTCTGGGACATCTCCGGTCAGAAACGGGCAACTTTAGATCGGGGGGGGGGGCGGTAACAGCACAAAGTTAACGGTAGAAAGTTTAGAAGCTAACGGAACAAATGAACTAACGGTAGCTTCAAGCCCGCAAGTGACGGCCTCCTTTCTAATTACCGGGATTTGTGTGTTGCCGATTGAGCAAAAATCACGCTGAGACTACGCAGCGCACAAAGCCGTTTTTGACTGGTATTGCTAGCTCGTTAAATATGTGACGTCCCTTCATCAGTGAATTTGCCTGCCATTGGTGCTGTTTCGCTGAGCTCACCCCTCTGTCCGTCCGTCCCCCTGTGTTCCGCAGGTCTGCGTCAGAAGCACGTGGCGCCGGGTCCGTCCGGCCTGGACGACCACCTCAAGTCGACCGCCTCTCCGGACCTGTTCGGCCAGGCGGACGCTGTGGTCAAGCACGTGCTGGAGGGCCACGATCGCGGCGTCAACTGGGCCGCCTTCCACCCGAGCCTGCCGCTGATCGTGTCCGGCGCCGACGATCGCCAGATCAAGTTCTGGCGTATGAACGACAGCAAGGCCTGGGAGGTGGACACATGTCGCGGCCACTACAACAACGTCAGCTGCGTGCTCTTCCACCCGCGCCAGGAGCTCATCCTCTCCAACTCGGAGGACAAGTCGATCCGCGTCTGGGACATGAGCAAGCGCACCTGCCTGCACACCTTCCGCCGCGAGCACGACCGCTTCTGGGTGATGGCCGCCCACCCGCAGATGAACGTGTTCGCCGCCGGACACGACTCGGGCATGATCATATTCAAGCTGGAGCGCGAGCGGCCGGCGCACGCCGTCAGCGGTAACCTGCTCTTCTATGTCAAGGACAAGTTCCTGCGGCGGCTCGACTTCACCACCAACAAAGACGTGGCCGTGATGCAGATCCGCCTCATCGGACGCACCAAACCGTACAGGTGAGGCGATATTGGGGCGAGTTAGTGTAGGGCACGGGACTTATAACATATATCCCAGCACAAAGAAGCCCATGTAACAACATTGGGTAGCTTACGTGGTATTGGCGTGACAGTAAGCCAGCCATTTGAACCTTACTTCGGATTAGTGGACGTCAAAAAGCGTCTGTCTTCCCTGTCTGACCCCTCACCTTCCGTTTTTCCGTCAGCCTGTCGTACAACCCCGCCGAGAACGCGGTGCTGATCTGCTCCCGTCCCTCGAACGCCGAGAACTCCACCTACGACCTGTACCAGGTGCCCAAGCAGACGGACCCGCAGAACCCAGAGACGCCCGAGGGGAAGCGCGCCGCCGGCCTCAGTGCCATCTGGGTGGCACGCAATCGGTTCGCCGTGCTGGACCGCAGTCACCAGGTGGGTGGTCGATGAGGGGGGGGGGGTCGTGTCCGCTCGTGACATTTGGGGTTATGTGGACTGGTAGCAGGTGTCTATCAGGTTGACTACGCTGACACAACTTCTGCCGGTGAATCAAGCATACGGGTCAGGTACTGTCATCGATTATCGATTTCCTACAGAGTTTCCGACAATAATGGTATGCATACTGTGTGCGTATGTGATATGCCGATCCTTATGTAAATGCATGATTTCCCCCATCAGTATTTTCGTTTATTGTGAATGGCCATTCTAATGAACTAACTTTAAACAATCTGAGGCTCTATTTCGCCGTTTTTCTTCTTACCGTCCCGGGAGTTATCACTTATTGTCCGATCTTTTCCTACCCGCAGGTGACCATCAAGAACCTGAAGAACGAGGTGCAGAAGAAGGTGCAGACGCCCGCCTGCGACGAGATCTTCTACGCCGGCACGGGCATGCTACTGCTGCGCGATACAGACTCGGTCACCATGTTCGACGTCCAGCAGAAACGGTAGGCAGCGGCAGTTCGAAGCAGTCATCTGCGACGGACAGACCATCTGCCGTCCCTGAGCCGGTAGACTGAGCAGAATGACACTGGGATAGTTTAGATGAATCTTGATTGTACCACCAACAGGTTAAATTCGCGAACTTTCCAGCTGGTAGGGCATATCATTCTGCTTTACAATATGCCTGCGTTTTTTCAAGATCAGTTTCCTTTCTGTGCTTTCCGCTATTTTCTTCTTCAGTTGGGCAAATTTAGTTCGCCCGTTCGGGCTGTCGTGTTTCTCGCGGCGTACCAACGTTATCACTCCGGCCCTCAGCTCCGTGGCCAGTGTGAAGATCTCCAAGTGCCGCTACGTGGTCTGGTCGCCGGACATGACGCACGTAGCGCTGCTGGCCAAACACGCGGTGGTCGTCTGCAACCGCAAGCTGGAGGCGCTCTGTCAGCTGCAGGAGAGCACGCGCGTCAAGTCGGGCACCTGGGACGACAGCGGCGTCTTCATCTACACCACCTCCAACCACATCAAGTACACCCTGACCAACGGGTGAGTGTCAAGTAGCCGCGTGATGGTTGGGGTAACCGATCGGGCGGGAATGGATGAAAGGACTGTTGTTGCTGGATGGCCTCTCTTTTTATGTATGAACTCGTCAGCACTGATTACTGCTGGCTCCTCTTACCTCAAGTGTCGTAGCGCCCTAAAACTCTCTAATTGTTTTCAGCTTCATTCAATGACAGAGAGAGTCACCCGACTCAGCACATTAACATTTGAACATTTCAGGTTGTCAAAACGCTCTGGTTCACGGACGTGCCATCTGCCTGGCTCCCTCACGCTGCAATGTGACTCATCACTCTTCTCCCTCTCTACTCTTTCTTCACAGCGACAACGGCATTATCCGCACGCTGCACGTGCCCATCTACCTGACCAAGATCAAGGGCAGCCAGGTGCACTGCCTGGACCGCGAGGTGCGCGCCCGCATCATGAACGTGGATGTCACCGAGTTCCGATTCAAGCTGGCGCTCGTCAACCGCAAATATGACGAGGTGAGGCCAGCTGGGTGAAGCGGTGGGGAAGGGGAGGGTTTGGGGAGGGATGACCAGAGCGGCTACTCGATGGTCAGCAGTCAGCAGTCGGGCCGAATGGAAAGCGATGGTAACCGCGGCTGAACAGATATTTTATGATGGCCGTATTGACCGATTCCCCAAGAGCTTTTCGGTAATATTGTCTCGCCTTTCCTCAGGTGCTGCACATGGTGCGTAACGCCAAGCTGGTCGGGCAGTCCATCATCGCCTACCTGCAGAAGAAGGGCTACCCCGAGGTGGCGCTCCACTTCGTCAAAGGTAATACAGTCATCTATGCATCTCAAACATAATATCCTGTATCGAAGAAGCTTCCGTACCGTGGGGGCTTTCATTTGTGTCATACAGCGTGTCTTATCCCGCTTGCTCAACTCTGACCCTGTCTCCTGCTGTGTCCAGACGAGAAAACCCGGTTCGGTCTGGCGCTGGAGTGCGGCAACATTGACGTGGCTCTGGAGGCGGCTCGTGCCCTGGATGACCGCGACTGCTGGGACAAACTGGGAGAGGCCGCACTGATGCAGGGAAACCACCAGGTCAGTCGGGCGGGAGGACGGTCAGCATTGACGATTTGATTGATTGATTGATTGATTGAATTGATTGATTTGATTGATGATTGGTCATTGGAACGATTGTGACTGTCGGTTCAGTACGCATCGCCGTATGGCTTCACATTTAGTGAGCAGGGAGGCCCTATGACCATGCCTTCTCCCTATCTCTGCCCACAGGTGGTGGAGATGTGCTACCAGCGCACCAAGAACTTTGACCGGCTCAGCTTCCTCTACCTCATCACGGGTAACCTCGAGAAGCTGCGCAAGATGATGAAAATCGCCGAGATCCGCAAGGACACTTCTGGCCAGTACCAGAGCGCGCTCTACCTGGGTGACGTGGCCGAGCGGGTGCGCGTGCTGCGCTCCTGCGGACAGACCAACCTGGCCTACCTGACGGCGGCCACACACGGCCTGGAGGCGGAGGCCGCCGAGCTGGCCGCGCAGCTGGGCGAGGGCGCCGAGCTGCCGCAGCCGCAGCCGCAGGCGCAGCTGCTGCAGCCGCCGGCGCCGCTCCACCAGAGCGACGACAACTGGCCGCTGCTCACCGTCTCCAAGGTAGGTGTGACTGGCCGACCGTCTCAAAGATAGACGCTTTACGGTAATCCTGGGTCATCAGCTAATGCCTTTGGTGTAATGATATTGAGCTGTTTTGTTCGCCTCTGAGTATTACTGAATTCGATTACAAAATGTAAGTCGTTTATAGGTCGGTGCAAGTTATACCGGTTTCATTCTAATTTGATGCATCTCAACCAGTTGTCTCGAGTTATATTGCTTGGTAGAACGTAACAGGCTGACATCACTCCTTCTTCGTCAGACGTTCTTCGAGGGCGCTATCGGCCAGACGGGCGGCAAGGCGGGCGCGGCCGGCGCCGGCGCGGGCGTCTCGGCCGCGCTGGCCGCCGAGGCCGACGAGGGCGCCGCCGACGGCTGGGGCGCCGACGCCGACCTCGGACTGGATGACGAGGACGCGGAGCCGGGCGCCGCCGCCGGCGACGGAGACGGAGAGGGCGGCGGCTGGGACGTGGACGACGACCTGGAGCTGCCGACCGACCTGGAGGTGCCGGCCGCGGCTGCCGGCGGCGCCGATGACGGCTACTTCGTGCCGCCCACCAAGGGCACGCCGCAGACACAGGTCGGTGGGATGGGTATAACGGTAGTCAAGGCAGAGGGGTGTTTTTGCGCTCACATGTGACCCATACCAGGACGTCTCGGGTATGAACACTCCAGTAATTGTGATATTCTTTGAATTAAGATCGCTTTAACTGACGACTGGCTGTCGTAACGAGGACGTAAGAATAATTCTTTCACAGCCTTTCTTCGTTTTTATAGTAATATTGTATGGGAGGTGAATTTACCCCGGCTGACCGTTTCCCCGCTCTCTCGCCGTATTTTCCAGGTGTGGACGCGCAACTCTCAGCTGGTGGTGGATCACGTGATGGCCGGCTCCCTGGAGTCGGCGTTCCGGCTGCTGCACGACCAGCTGGGCGTGGTGTCGTTCGCGCCGTACCGGCAGCTGTGTCTGCAGGTGTTCAGCACGGCGCGCTCCTGCTTCCCGGCCATGGCCAGCACGCCGCCGCTGTTCGGACACCCGCACAGGAACTGGAAGGAGGCCGGCGCCAAGGGCGGTCTGCCCGCCGTCGGAGTGAAACTCAGCGACCTCGTCACACGGCTGCAGGTGAGCGGAAAGTCTGAGAATGTCCGGTCGGGAGTGCCGTGATGTGTGACTTAGGCAGAGAACAGACAGATGAAAATGGTTGGCTTCTGGAAGGGTTTAGTGGAGCCAGTGCACTATGTTTTAACTCAGGACCAAAACTGGCCAGGGCTCGTAACTAAGAAACTATATGAGATACAAACGTGTTTTTGGGCTCAAACGAAACGTTGGTGACTAACGATCATTTAGAGTGAAAAATGTGTCGGACCAGATGCTTATGTACTTGTTTATGACGTCACAAGTGTCACGAAATATATAAAAAATATTGTCATGTTCTAGCTATGAATGCACGAACATTTAGGTATCTGTAAATTTAGAGTAATCGCAAGTCTGAGCAAGGCTCATCGACGAGGCAAGTCAAGTTTGAGGACATGACCTTGTTAATTAGCGTTGATGATCCCAGGTGACCTTGAATGCTCTTATAGGTATAGGACTTATTCATATAGGACCTACAATCTTTATATTTATTTCAAAAACATTTTTAAACGTATATTTTTATATCAACTTGATGTTAACCCGGTCTCCACTTAAGTACGTCCAGAGTCTTGTATGTTTTACGTCACATGACTCACGAGCGGATCCAGCTAATCCGTTTGGAGAGGGCAAAAGTTTCCGACCCATTCGGTGGCCCCGACCCACCGCCGCGCCGGTGACTTTACAACACTTCACTACGTCTGCAATATGCATGCGTGCAGCTCAGGGAGTTCCATCTGTTATCAGCATACCGACCTAAATAACGAGCAGCGAGCGGTCAGCTCCATCCCTTAGAATGGTTGTGACGGAAAGACTTGCTATTCGTCCAGATAGGCATCGACGCCGTATTATAGGTATTTATCATCACCAAAAGCTTTGGGAGCGGCAAAAGGATAGTTTTTCCCACACGATTCAGCTATGGGGAGGGCAAATACCCACTATGCCCTTCACTGGATCCTCCAATGCATGTCGTGAAATGGTAGAATGTATCCCAAAACTTCTTACCAATTCCTACTGTATGGTGCGTTATGTACCATGCAACGTGCAGCACGTAAAAGCACTTCATTGCCATACTAACTGACGCTTACTGCAACAAACGGATACTTTTTCATAAAGGTGGACAGCACTAATGATACCATACCACCTACATTGAACGTATTAATACTGACTGAAGAGGCCGATGATAACCCTGCCGAACGCAAACAGGTGATGGACGATCAAAAGCCGATCATCGTGATCAGCGATGCGTGCTGTGGCATGTCTCATACAGTCACCTTTCAGTTCACAGTCCCATCGCAAACTGGGCAGTGGGCACAATGAATATTTAATCGCGCTCCATCAGGTATTAAAATATGTTTAAAACTATGAATTTGCTGCAATAGCCATGGGGTGGAAAGTTCCTGTTATAGACCAGGTACTATACATAATTAATTACACCGATAATGCTGTTGATATTTAAGAAATGTTTATTTCATAGGAATGCTACAGTTTTTGATTGAACAACTGTCATTCACCGACATTGCCCGGTCTCTGGTTCCGGAGACCCTTTGTTTTCTTCTCGCGACACATGAAAATGCAACTGGCACGTGTCGTGGGGGTCGTGCCGTCAGCTGATTACGCCCCAGGGTACGGCAGGTCGCACACAGGGCGGCGACCTTCCATGGGCCACCAACTCGTCACAACAGACGAGAGAATGAACGAGGAGTACTAGCATTTTCCCTTAACGCACGCTAGGGCCCGTCCCATGGCTCAGCAGGAGCAGCCATGACTCATTCAAAAAAGTGTTCACCCCCAACACCGGCACACTCAGGCGCAGCTGAAATTTTGAGGACATGTAGACAACTCCTTGACCCACAGTGTGGTGGTAGTCTGAGACCGTACACTAGCGTACAATTTTTTGTAGCTCTATAAGAACATTGACATTTTTTCAAAAAAGTGTGTCAATGTAAGGGCTGACGGAAATCAATAAATTTAACACCTATGTGCATTATAATTATATAAATTATGACTCATTACAAAGCCAAAAGTTCGCACTATCGTTTGGTACCCAAATTATATAGTTTTGTCAATCCAAAGCTCGAAGATGTTGACGTGAAGCAAGGTGACTGTTTCTGCCTTTGTTTGCCGAAGTTTACCTTTTGAAAGTTGTCTGACTTTGTTGTACATTTTCAACGTTTTCAAAAGTAAAGAGAATAAAAGTTTCCGTCGTTAAAGATGGTCTGATCATTTCTGAACACGATAGTGGCCAAATGAATACGTTAAAAAATAGTCGATATTTCACGTCCTGGCCAGTTTTTGGCCAGCGTTAAAACACGGTGCAGTGGAGCGAATGATTAGCCCGACGCAAAAACAATTCGTCTATCGTCGAAGATAATTGTTTCGTTCTCTCAATTTTCTTCTGCCTTTTTCCAAAGTCATTACTGTTTCGTTGAATGCTGCTAATATCGCCGGTTCCGGCCTAACTCTCCGCCCCTCCTCCGTCTGACAGGGCTGCTACCAGCTGACCACTGCGGGCAAGTTCTCTGAGGCGGTGGAGCGGTTCCGCGCCATCCTGCTCTCCGTGCCGCTGCTGGCCGTCAACACCAAACAGGAGATCGCCGAGGCCACCCAGCTGATGCAGATCTGCCGGGAGTACGTCCTCGGTGAGTAACGGAACGGCGCCTGAGTAGTTTTCGCAGAAACGTCAGGGTCTCTGAACAGACAAATTAAATGGCTGCATCCTTCATGTGTTGTAATTTTTTAGCCTACTCGTAATTCCTGATTGTGCGGTTGATGTCCCGCAACTTGTTTTTCATTCGAGCCGCAATTGTGTCGTGCCCGTCTTGAGTCTTCCCTTCCTGACTAAACTGACGGTGTCCGTCCTTTTTCAGGTCTGTCGATGGAGATCCAGCGAAAGGAGATGCCGAAGGGCACGCTGGAGGAACAGAAGCGTCTCTGTGAGATGGCCGCCTACTTCACCCACTGTAACATCCAGCCCGTCCACCAGGTCAGATGAGCGGGACCGAACTGCCGCTGACACGTCGCAGTGACCCTGGCTGCCGAGTGCCGCAACTAATGATGCTCTTCTAGAGACAATCTTGAGTTAACGGGGCTGATGGGCGATAGCTATTATTTATTAGCCGACTAAGTTTGCTCAAGTTTCTGTAGTTTCCCCAGCTGAAAAATGTACTACAACTGTCGTTTGGCACCCTACCTATATGACAAACACCAGTGGGCTTATTCACCCAGACAACCGAAAGTCACCGTTAGTACCCCGCTTCTGACCTCTCTCGGTGTTTTATCCCAGGTGCTGACGCTTCGGACCGCGCTGAACCTGTTCTTCAAGCTGAAGAACTACAAGACGGCGGCCAGTTTCGCACGCCGCCTGCTGGAGCTCGGTCCGCGCCCGGAGGTGGCCCAGCAGACGCGGAAGGTGCTCCAGGTCAGTTAACCGGCGGTTCGGAGTGTGTGGGACGACCGACCGGATAGGGGGCGATTGGTGTGGTGTGGGTGGACCTGGGTGGACCCAGAGAGCTGTGGGCTCGAGGCGGGGCAAGTGTTCTGTGGGGTGTCTGGATTCTGTTGATCGGACGTGCCTTCCGTTGTTGTGGGGTTTCCGTTAGGAACGTGTCGTGATTTATTCACGATGAACGATCGTCAATAATTGGATGCTTGCTGGCTAGTATGTTTGTCTGCATGTGTAATCCGTCGTCGGCATGCACAGAATGCAACCAGTCAGTTATACCGTCCGTATGCGCTCTGTTACCATCATCCCACATGCAGCGTGGCAGCGTATGCCGATGCACAATTTGTGCATTAGCTGATTATCGGTACATGACAAGCGTAAATCGGCAGCCCACAGCGACCCCACTGTCGACTGTGCGAATCGCGGTAACGATCATCATCCAACAGTTGACTGTACCCGTCTCTGTGCGTCCCTCCCTCCTTTGACTCACCTCTCTCTTCTCAGGTGTGCGACAAGACGCCTACAGACGAGCATCAGCTGCAGTACGACGAGCACAACCCGTTCTCGCTGTGCGCCGCCACCTACCGACCCATCTACCGCGGCAAGCCGGACGCCAAGTGTCCACTGTGTGGCGTCGCCTACGTGCCAGACTACAAGGGGTCGCTCTGCAAGGTGGGACGAGCGGGAGAGAGACGGGAGAGGTGGCAGTGAGGGGGTTGGTTATGGGTTGTGGGACACGATTTTCCTTACTTTACCGAAGACCTCGTGGTGTTTAGCCATAACTAACTGAAGTCAAGGGCAGTCTTTTATGCCCATGTTGAACAATAAGCATCATTGGCAAGCTTTGATTCTTCTCCACTGTCCAGCTGCTGTTATGTTGTGCTAATCATATTATGACTCTGGATAGAACTAGTAACTGTCGTGGTTCTGTTCTCTGAACCCATGTGCAGCCGTCCGCACACTGGGCAGTGCTCCCAGTGTTCTTGGAAGCACCGCTCGGCGTTCCCTCCCTCCCTTGACTCCCCCGCCCTCCGTCCCCAGGTGTGCACGGTGGCTGAGGTGGGCCGCGAGTCGATCGGACTGCGCATCAGCCCGCAGCAGTTCCGATAGGCCGCCTGGGCCGCGCTGCATTCCGTGAGCCGCCGCCGCCGTCCCTGCCCACGGCGGACGGCGCCGCTGGGGACGAGTGAGGTCGGTCGCGGACCGAACCACCTACAGAGGCGGCGGCTGGGTGAAGGTGAACACACCGCCGACAGATAATGTGACACCGTGATGTGGATAGTGACGTGCCGTGACCGGTGGTGTGACGTGACTAGTGACGTGAGATGACATTTATTATCCGGAGGATGACGCACGGTAGCCCGCGACGCCGCGCTCTGGACGGTGGACGGGAGGCTGCCACGTGAACTGCTTCTGAGCCGATTCACCCAGCGGAGGCGTCTGGGGCATCCAAACACACCGCGCCGGCGACTGGACTCCGGCCGGGCGCCCAGTCCCGCGCCGTATCGGTCCGGCCGTGCGCCCCGCGCGGCCAATCCGTGCATTTTCCCAACTACCGCTGCGCGTTCCTGTTGATTTTGTTGGTCAAGTGAAGGCGGAGAGCCGCCCGATATCGGGATCATGCGTGAATGAGGGGCCGGGCTCCGTCTGTGTGGGGAGAGGGACGGACAGAGTGGTGCCGGAGGGAAGCCGCAGAGGTCCGCAAATCGGGCCCGGCCGCCGCGTATTCTATGTTGTGAGAAATCGCACGGTAGTGCACGCCTGCTCTAAAACATACATATATAAACGTGTTGGGTTGAGGATATGAATTATAAATACATTCTTTTCTATCCAGAAAGCTTTCGATGCTTGCAAATAGACCACGAGCATCGTGATATCACCGCCAGCGCTTTAATTCATATCAAACACGCGGATAGTTATCGGTGAATGTACATTTTCATCTAAATTCATGATCAGAGCTGAGGGAAACGGTGTCCTCACCGGACCACCAAACGCGGCCGCTCCCGGTCACATGTCCCATATATTGGCGATCGATCTGCACCTCTCGCTCCCTTTGTCACTGTTCCTGCACATATTCACACTCGGTCCGCTCACGCCTTGGCCAGGCCTTTGAGCTCTGCCAGACACTGTTTGATGGCGTCCTTCTCTTGCTGCGGGGTGATGGACTTCTGCACCTGGTCCACCACCCAGTTGACGAGGTGCTTCTGCTGGAAGCCCTGCGCCACGTTCTGCGTGTCCACCTGGTAGTCCAGGCGCCGCTTCACCTACAGGGAGGAGGGAGAGACGTTTAGGATGACAGTAGAACAGATAGATCGCAGGGTACTGAACGGTGGCACAAAAAAAAAAAAAACGCCGACTCGCCGCATTTGGACAGTAGTGTTATCAGGGTACCTCCAAGCCTTCACAAACTCGGAACACCGTCGTCTCGTTTCCAGAAACGCTCTGATACCATCAGCGGCGGCCCAGATCAGCGCCCTCCCCTTTACCCCAACGCGGGTTCCACCACACCGTGCTACACGGCGCTCAGCCTTGCCTCGTTGAAGACGGTCATCTGCCGCTCTCGGAAGGTGGCCTCCAGCTGGAGGGCCACGTTCTCCTTCTTGGCGTCGAAGAGCACCTGCTGGCCCTCGGCGTGCCACTGCTGCTTCTTCTCCTCCTCGATGGCGGCCACGAGGCCGTCCGTCTGGTTACCGCGGTACTCGGCCCAGCCGGCCTCGTACTCCTGAGAGCGTACACCGGGTACAGAGCGCGTCAGTGCATGCAGGCACAACGGAGCCACGGTGCAAAGTAGCAGAAGAAAATGACGTGATCGGGCAGGAGACTGTGCCATGTTCCTATCATCGTACACAAAGTTCACGGATCAGTGTCCAAATGGCGACCGTTGAGGCTGACAGCAGAGTCTCAGTACAGCGAGTTAGTACACTTACGTCGATCCTCTTGTCGAGGTACTCGGAGAGTGAGGGGCCGACCTTCTTGTAGAGCATGGTGCCGAACAGGAACAGCGTGATGGCCGTGTAAAACTCGTGCTCCATCACATAGATCTCCTTGCTGAACAGGAAGGTCAGCAGGCCAGTGCCGAACATGTAGGGACCTGGCGGACGTGGCCGAGAGTCAAACCAATGGCGGATCATTTTCCACCGTTCAATGCTTATATCGTGATAATTCACGAATCCGTGAAAAATTACGCATCGAAGAGAAAAAAAATCTGCAGTTACTAGAAAATTCTTGTTGAAAGAAAGCATTCAATAGGCACAAAAAGCACAAAACAGTATGATCATAATGGCTTTATCTACGCAATTTTCAATAATTCTGCCCCAAGAGCCTGCAGTTGTCGCCACACACCTGTGACGCCGGTCTTCTTGTAGAAGGCCTGGAACCACTCCTCGGGGAAGATGCCGAGGCGCACCTTGTCGGGCAGCTCGGGCCGGACGCGCCGCGGGAAGTTGACCAGATCGCGCTCTCCATCCTCCTTGGCGACCGCCGCCGCCGCCGCCGGCTTCGGGGCGGTGGTAGAGCTGGAGCGGAGCGCCAGAACCACCGGCCGGCTGGTGGCTGCTGGAGGGGTATACAGTCAGTCAGAGACAGGGGGTAACATACAGTCACTCAGTCAGGGAGCCAGTACCACCGGCCGGCTGGTGGATACTGTGACTGTGAGGCCCATGGTCTTATGCCAATGCACTGCATGTATTATGTTGTGTTCCATATTTAATGTGTGGGCATTGCAAAGAAAAGTATTAGGACAGATATGAACCAGTCTCTACAGCATCAGAGGTTTTGCCAGAGAAGTGATGCATAAGCTATAAATGTCAGGCATGGTGGGTGGGTGAATTTGCAATAGGTAGTATGTAGCTCAGCAGCATCTTCAAGCAATATTTGTTCCTTTTTCTTAGATCAGTATATTTTAGAGCTAATGACATCTGTGTAGTAACTTGGGTAATCCCAGTAAAAAATACCATTTGAAACCATTAGGATTTACCAATTGGTTTCAAATGTGTCAAATGGGTTGAAATAGGTTCTAATGGTTTTCATGACCATTTGAAATGGTTTCCAATTGGTAATTTCCCAATTGGTCTGAAATGGTGTTTTCCATTTGGTCCCAATTGGTTTTGAAATGGTTTCCTAATGGAAAATAAATCCCATTTGATTTCAAATGGTGTTTTCCATTTGATCCCAATTGGTTCCAAATGGAATAAAACCATTTCATTCCAAATGGTGTGTCCCATTTGATCCCAATTGGTGTCGAAATGGTTTCCAATTGGTAATTTCCCAATTGGTCTGAAATGGTGTTTTCCATTTGGTCCCAATTGGTTTTGAAATGGTTTCCTAATGGAAAATAAATCCCATTTGATTTCAAATGGTGTTTTCCATTTGATCCCAATTGGTTCCAAATGGAATAAAACCATTTCATTCCAAATGGTGTGTCCCATTTGATCCCAATTGGTGTCGAAATGGTTTCCAATTGGTAATTTCCCAATTGGTCTGAAATGGTGTTTTCCATTTCATTCCAATTGGTTTTGAAGTGGTTTCCTAATGGAAAACAAAATCCCATTTGATTTCAAATGGTGTTTTACATTTGATTCCAATTGGTTCCAAATGGAATAAAACCATTTCATTCCAAATGGTGTGTCCCATTTGATCCCAGTTGGTATCTAAATGGTTTCCATATGGAAGAAATTCCCATTTGATCTCAAATGGTTTTTCACATTTGATCCCAATTGGTGTCCAATTGGTCTCCAAATGGAATAAAACCATTTCATCCCAAATGGTATGTCCCCAATTGGTATCGAAACGGTTTCCAATTGGTAATTTCCCAATTGGTCTGAAATGGTGCTTTCCATTTGATCCCAAATGGTATGTCCCCAATTGGTATCGAAATGTTTCCAATTGGTAACTTCCCAATTGGTCTGAAATGGTGCTTTCCATTTGATACCAATTGGTTCCAAATGGAATACCTAAAACCATTTCATCCCAAATGGTGTGTCCCATTTGATCCCAATTGGTATCTAATGGTTTTTCCCATTTGATCTAAAATGGTTTTTCCCATCTGATCTCAAATGGTTTTTCCCATTTGATACCAATTGGTAATGGTGTCCACTGTCCAATTGGTCTCCAAAGGGAAGAAAACCATTTCATCCCAAATGGTTTGTCCCATTTCATCCCAATTGGTTTTGAAATGGTTTCCATTTGGGAGTCGGGAGATATTCATATTTGATCTAAATTGTTGAAGTGGTTTTGAAATAGAACTTTATCTGATAATGCGTGTCTTATTTAATCCCAATTGTTATTGAAAATGAAATGGTTTCCATTTGGAAGATATATTCCTATTTGATATGAAATGGACAATGGTTTTCCTATTTGATCCCAATTGGTGTCGAAATGGTTCCCAAATGGAAATTTCAACTGGTGTCGAAATGAAAAATGCATTTGAAAAGCATTCAAGGGTCGTTTTAGGCAAGAAAAACATACTTATGTGGCAATAACTTTTATTTCATGAGATGAATAAAAGCAAAGTCCGAACCGTAGTCGGAGCTGGAGTCAATTTTTGAGTCAGAGTCGGAGTTAGAGTCATAAATCCACCACTTTGCAGCCCTGTTTTCAGATGTGTGACAAGTATGCTTCAAGTGTTTCTACCTTGATGGTCTCTAATGGTTTCAAGTGTGTTTTGAGTATGGACTGGGTATCTATTAGTTCCCAATTGGTACCCTAATGGTTTCTAATGGTTTTTAAACATATGCTTAAATAATAGACTTAGAGGTAATGGGAAGACCTTTGACTGGTTATACTTCATAAGCATCACTACAAGGCCTTAGTTTTTCATTGAATAAAAATGATTCGCAAAATCCACGCCGTTTCCGCTCATTTAAACAGCACTACTTTTTCTCTGTGTGCCTACGCTGGCGGCGCCCGACCGTTGGCGCCCGACCGTTGGCGGCTTGGCGCCCGGCCGCGTATTCGCCAATTGTATTACACGAATCGGCAGACCAATAGCGTGCCTCTTGAGTGACGTCAGCGTGGCGTCATAGTTTTGGTCCTCGCCCTTGGTGGCGTCTATTGAAGCTAGGTTTTACTTTAACGATATTTAAGCTACTCGACATATATTGTCGCCGTGGCGAAGTGTTTAGAGTATCGGACTGGTGATTCAGAGGTAGGTGGTTCGAATCCACTCGGCGATTTCGTTTTTCGTGTCATCTGTCATAAGTCATTGAGCGTTTTTTATACATTTGCAACGGCGTGCACCTAAGAAATCAGACGTAGGCATTCTTCTAATGAATATGTTGCATAAGATAGATATTTGCAGCCCAACCGATTGGTTCGGTTTCGGTAGGTCCAATGGTCTTTGTTTGTATTTGGTTTGGTAGCGGTGTTCTGATTTTCTGTGATTGACATCACTAATGCATAGTGCATACTATGCGAACGTAGCCAATGGAAAGACAAATGGTGCTGGGCGATGGCCATTCATTGATCAATATTTTCACTGCCAATGGGTGATAGCACGCAGCATTGACAGGGGCGGCGCTGACCTTTTGAAAGTAGGTGGGCACTTGGCAAGGTAAAGTACCTAAAAGTAGCGAAAGCTAAGATGAAAAGTAAAAATCGCACGCTGGTTAGCAGGCTATTAGATAGTTTTTCGTGTAAGAATCACCACGCACAAAAAAAGTTCGGCATAGCTGTTACTGTTAGCGTAATCACGGGACGAGATTTATCAGTTTCCAGCCGTCAGAGCGTCATCTATAGGAGCTATGCCCTAACTATAACTTTTACATTTCAGCCACCAGGGGATACCTAAGTCCCCTTACTTGGAATCTAGTTATAGTCAAAAAGATTTATATTAGACGTTTATGAAGATAACTTGGGACTGGTTGTTAAGTTGCATGCTCACGGCGGGCTGTCATCAATTTATCTCTATACATGTCTTATCTGATAGATGAAATAATACAGGAATCCGTTGTCATTCGAGTGTGTTTCATAATAGCTCTTCCGACTTTGACGAATATCGACAGTGCCGTAACAAAATTGGTAGTTCAGGTATAGACTGCAACTGCAGTTCTTTTGCAACTTATTCCTTAATCAGATGAATACTTGTCAGAGATTTATTGGGCGTACGATATTGGCGTGCGAACGTAGGGGCCAAAAATGCGCGTCTACGACCGACTTCTTCGAAAAGAACCGCTAAAGCAAGAATCGATCCACCGACCTTTCATCCATCACACCGAGACTCTAACCACTCGGCTACGGCGACACGTTCATGTCAAATAGCCATATACAATTCCAAAAAAGTCTCAACTCAAATCTAGCCTCAATGCATGCATCGTCGCGGCGGATGGCTATGACGTCGCACTAGAGATGTCGCTAGTTGATGGGCCGATTCGTGTAATACAATTGGCGAATACGCCGCCCGGCCGGCAGCGGCCGCGCCGGCGCCACAGTTCAAATCGGGCGTCGACGTCGGCCGGCCGGCCGGCGCGCCACCGTGTTTCGCGTTCGCTGGGCCTGGGACTGCCCGCGGTCGACCGGGACCCAGTCATGCTGTGAAAGAGGAAGCTGAGCAGAATCACGCGGCTGGTGAGTGACTTCTCTTGTGCCTCGGTATGCGATATTCGTTTTACGACTGCAAATACTGAAAAGTTATTTGAATAAATTTGGTTGCATTTGGCATCTTTGTAAGTACCTACTGAGTTTAACAGAGGTGAGAAAGAGGCTTAAAATTAGCGATCAGTGATCACAATTTATTTTGCCAGTAGAAAATTGTCCGTGCCATATTTGTTGTGGCCAGGCTGCCTAAATGACAATGCAAGTTGCATGAGCTTAATGTTATTATATTGTGATATTTGACAAATGACTCTGTGTGGTAATTAATTTGATCCCATCGCCCAATTAACCCGTGCTGTCCTGTACTGTTGCAGGCACGAACTTGCACCGGACAGACGCCGTCTACCGGTTCTACACGGGTCCACATGGGCTGCATGCCTTCATTATAGCTACGCTCTGACTTCTGAAAATTCTGATCGCCACGGAAGATAAAGAAATCTGTCAGAACAACAGACAGTATCACCGATCGGAATGATATTGTATCACGTCATTCATTGTGCCTATGTGGAATAGCGTACGTATGGCCCAGTGTATAACTATATTGTAATTCTGTTCTTGATTCTGATAGCAGTCGCCTCATCGATGTGGTGTTGACCAAACAACAATGTCCATGTGTGGTTAATGTCTAATGTTGGTAGGTACGCACTGATGAAAATGTATATGCTTGCAGAGAGTAAAACAATAAACATCATTTACGGTGCAGTTTGTTATTTTGTGGATGAAATGCATGGACTTCAAAAGGATCTTCAAATGGTAATCCAGCTGCCCAGTAAAGAATACCATTAGAAATTTCCAAATGGTTCCAAATGGGAAAAACCATTTGACTTATTGAACACTTTTCCAAATGGTTCCAAAGAGGTTCCATTTGAAATGTGTCCAATTGGCCACCAATTGGTACCAATTGGAACCATTTCATGACTATTTGAAATGTGTCCAATTGGTACCAATTGGTGACCAATTGG